AAAAAAAGAAGAAGAAGAAAAAAAAAAGAACAAAGAAGTATAGCAGTAGGGACTCAGCCATTGAACGCTTAGGTCTTACAGCGGCATCATGGAATGCGCTTCGTCTCCTGAAAGCTCCGAACGCCATGGCAACCAGTTTCCATTCCCATCATATCTATCGTGTACAGCGCGTGTATTCCATGGGCTAAAACCGTTTAAGCAAAAGAAAAGGAAGAAAATCAAACAAAATTGACGGGAATTATGTGAGGTGGTTACAGATGACTCGGGTATCGAAGGGTGGGAGTACTGGAATGATTACTCGTTGACTCGATAAGACACCACCATCATACCACATCGGTGCAACGCATTACACACCATGGCTTATGATCGCGCCCAGATGTTGTGAGGCTGAAGGTGTTAAACTGTTTTTCGTCAAAAACCTAGGCGAATATCCTAGGCGTCACTGGCCTTGATGTCATCAGCACCATCCACTTCCTTCGCGTCTTCAGAAGCGAGAGCTGTTTCGCCGATGTCTTTGTCCTTTGCATCATGCTCAGCCCTTGGAGTAACCTCGTCACTGGCTTCTGAGCCGCCCACTCTAGATCTTGGAAGGAACCAACCTCCACGTTCCCATTGTCCAGGTTCGTAGAGGCAAGAGTTGCGGACCTCTTCATCAGAAATACCAGCCAGGAGAGTGTTGAGACGCTTGAAGTCGATTGGCTTGAGGATCCATCCATCGAAACCGGCATCAATGTAAGTCTGCTTTTCCCGCTCAACGAGTGAGGCCGAGACAGCAAAGATGGGGATGCGATGGTTGGTGCCAGCCAAGCTCGAGTGGCCGTGATGATCTGCAGATGCCTCCATTGACCTGATCATTTTTGTACTCGTGAGGCCGTCAACGATAGGCATCTAGTTCAAGTTAGTGACCAGGTACAGTCAATTGAAACTCGGCTAACTCACCTGCATGTCCATTAGGACAACATCAAAGTCATTCGACCTCTCACGATAAGCTGCAGCGCAGTCCTCGCCGTTGACGGTATGATGAACGCCATGTCCTACTCTTTCCAGGCGCTTCCTCAAGATCTTCATGTTGATTGGGTCGTCTTCAGCCACGAGAACCTCGAGATGCGGCTGCTCAGTCATCTGGGTGCCTCCACTGGTGACACTCTCTGTGCCAGCCTTGGCTACAGGGTGATCACTGCTCTTCATCTCAAAGAGAATGCCAGATTGCTCACTAGGTTGTGGTTTCTGAGGTACATCAGTATAATCATCCGGCATTTTGATTGCTCGGATTGGGGTTTTTGAATCCACGACATCGGTACTGCCCGGCTCGCTATGAGGCTTCGTTGAGACAGGACTTTGAGGCTGCTTAGTGGACGGACTAGCAGATCGGCCACCAACACTCATAGCTCCGCGAGACTGAGGGCGCAAGGATCCTGATATTGAACCTCCACTTCCCTGAAGAGGAAATTCGGTGCCTTCCCGTTCATTTAGAGACAGGGGCGTTTGGATTGCATCAATTAAGCGATCAGCATCGCTCTGATGGCTCTCGCGGCTACCGCGGCTAGCGTGGCTTGCATGGCTACTCCTGCTTCGCTGGCTTGCCCCACTTCCTTTGATAGAAACATCGGCAGTCTCCCCAGTAGATGCCATAGTGCTAGCTCTATCAACAAGCGTGATCTCTCCTTCTGGCGCAGCCCTCAAAGCATCAGGAGCGGTGTTGGTAGTGCTGTCACTATTCGTGGATTGATTTCCTGGCTCTGCCGGAGCATCCTCGGGCTGAGATACATGTGTTTCATCTGATAGAGTGAACGGAAGCTGGACCACAAATCTCGAGCCTTGCCCGACTTCGGATTTCAGCCGAAGCTGTCCGTCCATGTTTCGAACAATGCGAGCAACAACGGCAAGGCCAAGTCCTAGAGTACGCATTTCACGAGGCATCTCGTCTAGTGAGCTTGACATAGGCGCTTCCTCGGTGCTGACCTGCTCGAGATCGCGGAATAGAGTGTCAAGTTGACCTGCACTCATGCCGATACCAGAGTCTTCGATAACAAAGTCAACAACGGCCTGCCGATCTTTGACCTCGGACACGAAAACGTCCACCTTGACATGACCTTTATGCGTATGCGCGACCGCATTTGCTGTGACATTAGAAAGTGCTTGTCGAATCCGTCGTTCATCGCCGTGTACGAACTGAGGCAATCCAGGATGTTGGACAACAGTGTAATGGATTCCTTTTCGTTTCGCATCGTTCAAGAAGGGGCCGGTTGCCTCTCTAATACAGCTGGCAAGATCAAACACTTCGTCCTTGACCAAATTCTGCCCTTCCTCTGTCTTGGTCAAATCCAGTAGATCATTTATGACATAAATCAGAGATTTAGATGCAGAATGAGACCTGGCCAAGTTATCGCGAGTTTCTTGATCGAGACTACCTTCCAAGGCGATCTCGAGGTAGTTGATGATGGCATTCAGAGGGGTTCGAACCTCATGCGCAGAATTAGCAAGTAACAGTCGGGTCAGTTTGCTGTTCTGTAAAGCCTTCTCCTTTTGTCTCCAAACTTCGATGAACTTGCCGTAAACAAGGCAGAGGACAGCAGCTGTCTCTACCTGTTCCTCATTCCATTCTCGGCATTTTCCAACGACAGTTTCGTGCCATGTCTTGAAACTCTTCCTTGGCTCGAGGTAGCCGGCGGTACCCTCACGAACAAACTTTTCATAAGGATTGCCGGCCCACTTCACTTCCTTAATTTGGCCCTTCCGGAAGAAAACAATGAAGTCACTACCGCCAACGCTCAGTGGGACGTAGAGTAGTCCAGCGACAACTTGAAAACCAGGTGGATATCGAAGATCAGGGAAATCTTCTCTAACATCCTGTGATGCCACAACAGAAGTGAGTTGACGCATTCTGAGATACTCTAACATTGCAAGCGCTTCTTGACTTTGTTCGATAGGTCCCATGATTTTGGTCTCACCCTTGATTGATAGCAAACCAAAATCGGCATCGAACAGTTTTAATAGATCCTCCGAAGACGCAATGATGTACCCAGAAGGATTCTTGTCAGTAGGTGCGGTGTTGATCAACTTGCGAGCTTGTAGTCTCGAAGCGTAAGACAACCTCTCGATATTTCTGGATGCTGTGTCTCCCACTAGACGACACATTTTTCGAATAGGAAACGATACTCGCATTCCATGATTTCCGTATGAGTGACAAGAAATAAGGCCCCATAACTCGTTGAAAGCATTGATTGAAATCGACATTGAGGACCTCACAGCCATATTCTTCAAGTATTTGATATGAATCGGCGACATAGCTCGCAGATACGAGTGGCTCATGTCCAATGGGACGTCAAGGTCTTCTTTTGTTCGGCAAACGATTCTGGAGGTATCTTGATCGCGGTCGTAAAGTAGCCGTACTTTGTTGAGCTTGTAGAGATCGCGGGCTTGTCGTGGAATATCTGATGCTGGAAAGTGAAGACCCTTGTATAAATCTCTCGTCATGGATGTATCAACAAGCTCCGTCACAACCTTTCCGTTGAATGACGAGTCAAACTGATAAATCATGACTCGGTGGAAGCCAGTCAATTCTTTGATTATGCCAACTAGAATCTTGAGAAAAGCCTCGAGGTTTGGAGCAGATGAAAGCTGTTCCTGGACTTGAGACATAATGTCAAAGACTTGCATAGCGCCTTGTTCGCCCCGCCTCTTTCTCGCGCTTCTCAATATCCTCAAAGGCTTACTAAGAACCTCTGTGCTGTCTTCGATCTCCTCCAAAGTTGGGTTTGATTGCAATGTGTCGTGGGGAGTGTCGGGCGTCATCTCATCCACTGGCCGTAATGGATATTCAACGTCATCGTCCAGCTCAAACTCGCAGAGGATTAAATCAGGATGTGCTGGGTTTATATGAATTGCACACCAAAGCTTTGTGCTCTTGCGTTTAGGGGGTCGAATTGATAGGCTAAAAACCTCAGGACCATTAACGGCGGGATCTGCATCTTCGTCGCGAATAAAATCGATGTGGTCAAGAAGATTATCCTGTTGCTCTTCTGTCAGGATGTCAAGGAAATTCGTGAGCTGAAATAATTGTTTAGGTGTATAGCCCAACATCCGATCAGAATTCTCGCTGACGTATCGGGCGACAAAACAACCATCGTTTTCTTCGCGAAGAGCAACGAGAACACCGAAAGTTTGAACGGCGCCAGGGGTATGAATCGGTTCGTCCTCACAACGCTGTAGGACACCGTCACGACCAGTAATGACCGCATGACCGTCATCAGTCACAACGTGCGTGAAACGGGAAGTGACAAGCGGAACATCAGCACTGGAGTTCCCAGCGGAAGAAACATCGGCATCATGTCCGCCCGGTGCAAGGTTCGATGAGTTATGACCCATTGCCCCCGATTCCTCTGTTTCTGTTGCTGCGTCTCCATCTACATCTTCTTCGCCTTCGTTGTCTGACATCGATATATCAAGTTGTAAAGGCACTGTACTGCTTCCATGGCGGTTTGCATCGAGCTGAATGCTCGACATGGGGCCGCTCATAGTGTTTTTTCTTCGCATTATGGCGTCGATACGCTCGTTGTGGGCTCGTGAATGGTAATTTGCTGGAACTGTGTCTGAACGTCTCAGATCTGGTCCCGTGTCAGCTCGAGGCGCGCCCGGGACCTGAATGGGAATGCTCCGACCATCGCGCTCAGGCAAGGCGTGGAAGTAGTCGTCACTGGTTATCTTACTGGAGTTGGGGTCGACGCTGATGACTGATCGTATAGGAAAAACTCGGTCCCCGGAGACATCTGAAGCGGCGGAGTGATAGCCCAGTTGCTTATCTGAACTGACACTCCAAGGTGAAAACGGTGGCTCCGAGTTGGAAACACTATTATGTTCGCTGGGAGCAGCAGATGAAGCGGCTCTAGTCGTTCGTGTAGGCGTTGCGTTATTACAGGTGTTCGTACGAAGTTCTGGAAAACTCTCCGGGCCACTGGGCCGAATGGTCGTCGAAGATGCTGTCGAAGACTGAGGTGGTGGAGGAGGATAAGACTCTGAGGGCGGAGAGGTAGCCGAAGGGTCGTGTTGCTGTTCTTGATGGTTCTTTTGCTCAGGTTGACTGGTGCCCTGGCTCTCTTCGTCGTGCGACGCATCCATGATGGTAGTGTCCTGTCGCTAACCTGATAGTTGCGAAGCCGAAGTTGAAAGGATGAGAGCCCGGAGGTTGAGGAGGGTGGGGGGAGGATACTCGAGCGGGAGGTGAGGACGATCCTATAAAGTAGCGTCGCGCATCCCCGTGATAGCCTGTACGATCCTAGTGAAGGGTGCCAGCAGAATGTCCCGCGAAATCAAAGGGTTTGGAGGCAGCCAAGGTAGAATAAGGAAACACAATGAAGAAGAAAAGAAAATATTGGGCTGTCGTGGTCGTAATAGTCGTGGTCGTCGGCGAGGGCTTGACTTTTGACAGATGCAGTGGCGTGGGCTACAACGCAATGTAGTCTGGTCTGTAGGTCGAGTCGATAGAAGATAAAAGCAGGGTCCAAATGTTAAAGCGACGAGACCCCAATGCTAGATCAACAGGGGGCCGGACTTGGGTGAAGGCCAAACAATAGGTAGTGAGAAACAGAAGCTATCACAATTCGAATAGACAGCGATGAATGGCGAAGGGGTTGTGAAGACGGGTATCCGATGCGGAAAGAGTGACGAAGGCTTTGACTGGCCAGGCGACTTGATTTGCGATTGATACGTAATACCGCTCTAGGTTCGAGGATTATCGAGCAAGAATACTGTAGGGAAGGGCAAAGTAGGGCAGAGCCAGAACAGGGCGACAAATAATTTACTGTACCAGCTGGTAGCAGCTTTTGGCTGAGGGGACGGGATGTTGAACTGTAGGAGTAAGGTGTTGTAGGTTGGTTGTGTGGAGGTGGCAATGTACAGTGTGGCCCTACAGTACGGTATGGTTTTAGGTGCTAGCCCCCAGGCCAGGTCTCAATCCCACCTAATCCCTGCCGCCTGCACGCTGCAGTCAGGTTGGAGAGAGGCAAGAGTAGGTGGCCTGGGGCTACGCTACGAGGGCAAGAGGGAGGGTCAAGTGGAAATGGGCAGGAGCCTGAAGGCAAGGACTTCCCTACCAATGGCTCGTCTGTCGCCTTGCTAGCTCTGTCGATCCCATCCATTTTCTCCCCTCTCAATGAGCAGAAGACCGGATTACACTGCCAAGACCGCTCAAAATCCCATCCTTATCCCTTGAAAATCCCATCTCATTCTATCCTGCTACTCTACCTTGCCTTACTATGCCCCTCCCTGGTCTCTTTGCCCTGGAGTACAGTGTCCACTTGCCTTACAACGAACGAGCCGAGAGTCTTCGGTCCAGAATACTCTGGAGAAATGGGCTGTTGAACCAAGAACGCCTTAAATTTTCTTCTATTGTCTTCCAAGTGCTTGCGCCATAGTCTTGTGTGTTCCGGCATTGTGGATTACTCCATGTCGGCAAGCAAAGGGGTCTCGTGGTGGAATTTTGGTGGTTTCGATGACCCCACGACCCTGACCGAGGAATCAGTCAACACACGAAACAACCCTCCACAGGCTTGGGGCCATCACCATAATAGGGCACAACAATTAACCCGAATCTTACACAGCGTTAACGCTTCCCATTAATTACGCTGTTGTGCAAAACCCCTACGGTGTCGAGAAGGAACCAAGCTCTCTGTCAAACAACGGTTCTGCCATTCCCAACTAATTTTCGTCTTAGAACTAGGCTACCTCGACCTATCACCATCTTTGAACGAGATCACTGTCCCAGTCTGGCCTGACAAATGGTCTTTTCGACCCGAGCCGCAATTCTGCTCTTTTTGTAGTATGAGGCCTTTCAAACATACCAAGCGAGATCGACATGTCGTGTAAAAAACATCTTTTTTTGATGAGACAAATGCACAGCTCACCAAATGAGACCTGTACGTATCTTCTGGATCGAGACCCATAATTGCGATCATGGGCTAATCTAACATTCTAGTATGAAACCCGCGCGCTAAGGCTGAGCGACACCATGCCGTAACTCACTGTTGCTTCAACTACTTTGTGATGTGACCGGTTCTTAATACTGATGGGAATCGAAGGCTTTGACCTGACTGACGATTCTAATATGATTGGCTGACATATATACCGGCCAACAGCGTGCGGATCAGCTCGTGGCTTGACAGTACCGTCGCGATGACTTTTCTCAATTGCACGATGGCATCCCAGTGTCAGTCTCAGGAACTAGAATTACCGATAGGCCAGACCGCTTGACGACGCTGTGAATCGGCGATCAAGATGCCTACTCCCCACTTGGTCTGTAGAGTCCCTTGGAGCTCTCCAAGCCAACCAGCAAGTCCACAAGTGCCTTGTTAGCTTGAAGAATCTGGCTCCAACAAGTAGCTGGACCCCTCTTATCTTGATTTGATGCTGGTAGGTGGGTAGCACAACAGTCCGCCTGCGTTCTTTAAACAAGCAGATATAGTGTAAGAAACATTTGAGCACCTTGCCGCTTCCAGTACGCGCGGATCGTCTATCCTCTTTTGTCAGCTACAGCGGAGAGCGGGGGTTATCCTGTCCTCCATGGGGCTAGGTCCAGGGCACCTCGCTGACCCCTACCCGTCCCTGCCGGACTAAGGTGTCATGAGGTGAGAGAGGCAAAGTCCCTGAGCCACTTGTTGATCTCACTGTCGAGACCATTCTGTTACACCCGCAATGGAGTAGGCAGATTCAAGAGGACTCACTGTACTATTCATGTGCTGTGCTGCATGCAAATGCGATGACAACAGAGTTCGGCATAAAATGCACCGCCCCAGTGTGTGATTTGAAGTACGTCCAGTACGTATTTAGTCTCTTACCCACAGACCATGATGGATGAGGCTCGGTACAGTATTGCTGTAAGAACCATATTCTTCCAACACTGTGGGTGCGCCACATATAGCTGTGACATCATTCGAGGCCGGTGGTTCTTCTCCGGCTTGGAGGAGACGAGTGGACGTCTTGGCAAATCATCGTCATGAAACGATTTGGGACCATAATGATCATCGACTGATGATGCAGATCTTTGTTGTACCCAGCCACATGTGGCGGATAACTAACTAGGTACTTAAGAAATGTCCTTCAAGTTAGGCTACAGAAATAAAGTAGCCTAAGTGATGGTCTAATTTGGGATAAAGGTGAACAAGTTATTTCGTCTCTTATGCTTTTAACAGTCAATTCTTTTGACACCCTGCGGCTAGGTACCCAGGAGGTATGCCTGGGCTGAATTACAGGACAGTAGGCACAGAGTACTGGACTGATATAGACGCACAGAAACGGTTCCTGAATTTGGATGGGAAAAGGCGAATCTACAGAGAATGCCTTGGCAAGCATTATTCCCTGTTCCTCGGAGTTGTTTCATCATTAGAAAACTTCGTCTTCCAATAGAAAGAGGTATTATTTACCGTTATACCCGTCTAGGCTGCCAGAGGCGCTGAAGAGCGAAAAAATCTTTTTACAGTACAGTACATACATGTGGACCATGATGATGACTGGTCCCTGGGTTTTGATGCTGACATCGGACGTTTTTTGACATCCGTATTACCGCTTGTTTATTAAGAAATTTCTGTCTTGTCGTAGGTAATTACTAAACCATAGGCAAATACGGATACATACGTATGTATTATTTTAGGCCGTATGCACCTTGCAGACCAGCGCCAAGCCTAACATCTCCGCTTCGAATCACCGGAGGTCCTCCGGAGGGAGCAGGCATCCGATGATTAATATTACAGTATCGAAACGGACATTGTATAGCATTTGCTAATAATGGTGAACCTGAACATGAATGAATATGTATCGACTACCTATATATCTGGTTATATGCACCACGACGAGTTTGAACTGGAACTAGCAATTGAGTTTACTAAGAATAGACAATGACCAGCTGCGTGCACTTACACCAAGTCACTTGAATTGTCAGATCCAAAGAAATCGTCGAATACCTGTAGCTCCAGGAACACCGGCTCTAGTTTCTCCCTTTAATGTGACATCGTACAAACTGCCATCCTCGGCGCCAAGGCAAACAAACAGTGTGGGAAGTCTCTGAGGCGTTTGTTGCAACGATAGACTTTTCACAACCTTGAATGGCAGTACTGTACTATGGCAGTATCTATCTTATCCGTATATCCATGGATGGCAACCTGCTTATTTCCGATGTCTGAAATGACTGTATCCGTGTCCGTACTACTGTATGTAAACAAATTCGGTGATGTGTACGGATAGTAAGTAACTTTTGCTGAAGGTTGCTTAACCTTTCAACACTACAATGACCCCGAATGTTTTCCTTTCAGTGTCCGTGTGTCTAGTTAACGATTGAACAATCTTCGTATCATGTCTTATCTACCATCTTGTCTCAGCACTTGGCATACAGTGTGTTAAACAATGCATCCCTAGAACATGATACCATTCGATATTTATTGGGCTTTCCTTTTAGAATTGGGCATTAGTTTTGTTTGCGGGCATTCAAGTGTCTAGGCCACCCGCCTCTATTGGTTCAACTTTACTTACACCGTCGAGTAAGTCGAGACTCTATATCTGGAACATGGCACAGGCCCCGTTGCCGGCTCGGCAATGTCTACTTACCATCGTCTAAGTCATCAAAAGCATACGCAGGCTTAACTCGTTGCTCAAAATGGATTGGGTAGCATATGGTTGTGTCAGATGATAGAATGCGCGATGTTGAAATACCAGTTTCTACTCTTTCAGAATAAAAATGCTGGGAGCAAGACTCGGACACTTTGCCCTCTACAGTCAAATCACTGTTACCCTTCAACTTCCTAAGCCAGCCATGTTCTGCTTTCTGTCAAAGAATACTAGGGTCGAGCTGGCTGACTCGCTGCCATGCTCTGCCAAGCAAGGTTAACCCTGCTTATCTCGGGAGAGCAACATAATCTCAATTAGCAACGAGTTAACAAAGCCCCAGCCATGGATATATCCTACCCAGACACAGGCCCCTCGACGCCTTGACATTTCGAATGGCCCGAGACTGGCCACGCGACTGCACAGATCCCCCCATCTTTAAAAAGATAGCAATCGTGATATATGACAACATCTTACCCGCGGATGCTCCAAGGGTCCAGGGCTGACGAAAGCGGCAAATGAAAGTCTAGAACGGACAGACTCTACCAACAATGGGTACTATAAGCATGGCTGTTCCTAGCTTTCTATGTCGTGCATGGTCTAGTTGAGTTGTGTCGTATTGAACGCTCACTGGACAATTAGACCATCTTAAACCCAATTGGTCGATCTACGGTACTTGAAACAGGTAGTTTCATCGAGGATATCCGGGAAGATCGTCAATATTTGGTTCAGCTGAAGATCCTACTAAGCGGTGTGATAGCTTATTAAGTGGTAGTGCGGAGATACTCAATATCGTTGCTGGGCTTCAGTCCGGGCATGTCCGCCGAAGCAAATACTGCTGAGTTGTTCAACCGTCTGACGGGGAGTCCTTGCTGGCTATGTTGCATCGAACGAAAGGAAACAACATTGATGAAAACCTAGAGGTCATGTCCGTTCGTGAGCGTTTAGTGAGAATAGTGGCGTGTGTTTTCAATTTTCTTAAAAGATATACCGTAAACTCAATAGACCTAGGTTCTGTCTAACACTCAGCCAACATATTCTTCTTGTTTGTTTCTCTGAAATGGCAAGATATAGCTCATGCGATCTGTACTGAAAGCCATAGCTGGGTTGAATGCAATGATTTGATGAAAAGCAATGAATAGTAAAGATGATTTCTTGTACGAGTGATAGTGATATCGAAGCATGGCATGCTCTAGACAGGAGGCTACAAAACAGAGGCACAGTTAGCAGGGAATCTTGTATGATATCAAAGTAAACTAACTGCAGGACTTGCAAATATGTAGACTTAGTAGTACTATGTCAACGCAGCTCTCTCTTGTACCACAACATAGCTAAATGAACACACCTTCCATATTCAACAGCACTTAACAATAGGTAGGAGTCCTCGGGTCGTTCCTCTATAAGAGCTGCGCAAGTTGCAGTATCTTACTTTGTTTTCACCCGAAGACGTTACTATTCAATGACTTACGTGCCTTACCACCCACCCCCTACTATATACGAGATGCTTCTTAGTTCTCCCTGCACTAGGTTTGTAATACCTTACTTACCTGCAGGAAGTCACTTGCCTTATTGCCTGTCCATCAGCAACCGACAGATAAACCAGGCAAAAAGCAAAGACAAAGAAAGAAACGTTTTACAGTTAGTTGTTGATGCTGGTGACTAAAACTGCAAAAGAGAAACTCCGGTACAGGGAATCGAACCCTGGGCTCCGCGGAACTTAACCTCTCAGGTTATGAGAGCGCGAAATGTTAGCCACTACACCATACCGGACAGTAGATGCTATTTAGACTTGCAATTGGCAACCAGGTAGTCTGACATGAACAGATACCTGGCCAATCGTGCAAGTACAAGTCATCTTGGAATGACTTGTAAAAACTTCGTACATAGTGTCACTGGACTAGTTGGAGTATACCGAGTTTCTTCACTCATCACTATATTCTTTCCTCGTAGATCTACGAGACAGTGACTGTCACGTTCCCCTTAAAGCTCTCGCTCGAGTTGCCAACAAAGACTGTAAAGTCACCAGGCTCAACAACATATTTCATCTTGCGGTTCCATAGGCCCCAATCCTCAACTTTAAGATCGATCTTAACAGTCTCGGTCTTACCTGCCTTGACAGCGACCTTCTTGAAACCCTTGAGTTGGTACCGAGGAACGTCGACCGAGGCGATCATGTCTTTAACGTAAAGCTGGACAACCTCAGACCCGTCACGCTTGGACTTATTGCTAACGTCGACGGAAACAGTGACTGTGTCGGAGGCCGTTACGTTCTTCTTAGAAACGGAGATCTTGGAGAAGTCAAACTTGCTGTATGAAAGACCATAGCCGAACGTGTAGAGAGCCTCAGGGTTCTCGAGGATATAGTTGTTGCCGAACTCAAGAGTGCCGTTCTCGTAAATCTTGCCAGGATTGGGATAGGCACGTGCAGAGTTGAGGTAATCATAGTAGATTGGGGTAGTGCCAACGTCGTAGGGAAAGCTAACGGAAAGCTTGCCTGAGGGGTTGACGTTGCCGTAGAGGATGTCAGCGAGAGCATGACCTCCCTCTTGAGATTGGTAGAACTGCTGAACAAGAGCAGCAGCCTCTTTGGAGATCCACGGTTCAGTGATGGGTTTGCCGGAGCTGTAGACGACAACGGTGGGCTTTCCACTATCAATAATTGCCTTGACGAGCTTGGGCATGGCCCCGATGAGATTCAGGTTGCTAGCATCGATATGCTCACCAGTGGTGGCGTTGAGACCAGCCCAGAGTTCGTTCTGGTCGCGAGTCCAAGTTCCGACGACAACAACAGCGATGTCGGCAGCCTCAGCGGCAGCGATAGCATCCTCGAAACCAGATTCGTCCGAGGACCAACGCTCACAGCCTTGAGTGAAGGTAACGTTGCCCTTGCTGGCAGCTTTGATACCATCATAGGGGGTGACACCTCTGGTCATAGCAGTACCAATGACATAGTCACCGTACTATTCAGCGTCAGTGTTTTGTTTAATTCCAGAGGATGAGAATATCACATACGTTGACATAGCCATGAGCCATCGGTCCAATGACGGCAACATTGGCGTCTTTCTTCAATGGAAGAACGTCCTCGTGGTTCTCAAGAAGAACAATGCTCTCAGCATCAAGCTGACGAGCGACCTTTTTGTGAGCCTTGGTGTTGACATAGTCCCAGATCTTATCGTCAGCAACACCAGTGAAGGGTTTCTCGAAAAGACCCATCTCAAACTTGGCACGAAGAACACGAGACACTGCTGTGTCGACAACCTTGTTGTCTAGCTTACCGGCTTTGACAAGCTCAGGGATGATCTCGAAACTCCAGTAGCCACCGCCCATCTCGGCATCGTTACCAGCAGGGAGAGCCTGTGCTTCATTAGTATTTGACTTGGTCCTTTGTGGGGAAACCGACCTCGAGAGTAATGCACTCGTCATCCTCGAGAGGGCAGACATTGAAGGCCTGAGCAAGGCGAGCAGTACCGCCGGCATCGGATATGACATAGTACTTATAATCCCATTCGTCTCGAAGGATATCAGTGAGGAGATGAGAGTCTGAAACGACAGGAACACCGTCGTAGGAATTGTAAGAGGACATAATGGAGGTCGCTCCGCCGTCGATGATGGCTCGCTTAAAAGGGGGGAGATAGAGAGACCGCAATTGTCGCTCACCGCCGTGAACAGGGGCGGTGTTGATACCTTGTTCAGGTGTCGCAAATGCAGCCTTCATTGTCAGTTACTTGTTTGGACTGGCGATGGATGTTAGATGTGGCTTACGTAGTGCTTCACCATAGCCGACACTCCTCCAGCTTGAAGGCCCTTGACGTATCTGTAACCCATCTCTCCCGCACTGTAGTAAGTTAGCATATATCATCGCCGGTCATGAGTAAAAGTCATACAGATAAGAATCCTCGCTGAAGCATTCTTCGACTCGTCCAAATCGCAGCTCTCGGGCGAGATCGACTTGTGGAGAGAAGAGCTGGTTTATACCAAGAGCTCGAGATTCCGTAGCAATAACGTCGGCCATCTTCTCGATGAGCTCAGGGTTGAATGAACATCCCATGCCGATGGGTGAGTTGAAGATGGTTCCGTTGAGGATCAAAACTCCGTGGAGACCTTCACTCTGAACAAAGGCGGGAATACCTCACATCTGTCAGTTCATGAAGTGAAAGTCTCAACAAGGCATTGTGACTCACCGAGCTCAGTCTCTTCCATGAGATAGTCCTGTCCCAACTTGGCAGCCTTCTTGATGGTGGTCATGTTGGCGTACAGGCCAGTCCAGATGGAATTGGCACGGTATTTGAAGTTCCATTCCAAGCCGGTTCTATTGACAGCCTCTGTAGTAAGATTGAGATAGTTGGTCATGTCACCCTGGATCAACTGAGCAGTCTTCTCCTCAATCGTCATGCGCTTGAGGAGATCCGAGACTCTATCGTCGACAGAAGCTTTGGAGTCCTTGTAAACAGGTTTATCCTTAGCAGCCTGGCCTGCCGTGGCCAGTGCTACCGCACAAAGGTATCCAGAAAGCTTCATTCTGGAATATTGAAGATGAGAAAGAGGCTACTCGAGAGCTATAGACAAGGGCGCTTGGGATCTACATGAATTTATACACTAGAGAATCCTTGTCCCTTTACAATTAACCGCGGAGCCTGGAGCATGGATAACCCCCTCTTCTCGTACATCATAGTATAGATTCACGATACTCGTCAGCTGCACTGCATATGAGTTTGGCTACTGACTTGATTCGAATTAGGTCATGTAATGGAAGGCCTTTACGGACGTTACGACCGAAGCACAGCAGATCATGACATGGCGGGCTTCTGGGGACCCTGGAAGAATGCGGGGCAGAAGAAGAGAAGAAGGAGATGGGCAAAGGACTTGGATTCGTGGACTTTGTTTTTAAGTTGACATGAGAGCAAGTTCAAAAGGTGTGAGGTCAACCATTGGGGCGGTATATCAGGATCAGATGGAAAGACGAGCCGAATATCCTAGCACAGATGCAAGGCAGAGGTTCTGGTCATGGAACATGTGTCATGTAGACCAGATCCCTCGAGTTCTACAAAGTACTTACAGTGCAGTACAATACAGTAGACTACAGTATCCAATGTGAGTAAGTTCCATAGACGTCGGTATAAGTCAACCCGAGATTTTCTAATGGCCGAGCAGCCGTTAGCTTCCACAGTCGGACACTTACTGGATTACAGTGGCTCTAGCCTGTAAACCCCGCATGTTCACTCCCTGTATTTAGCCGGGGGTGCTTCTAGTGCCCGCTGATTTATCCACCAGTCGATCAATCCCGCAGGGGACCCTTGATAGTCAGTCTCATCCCGTCTCGTCTCATCTCAACATCATGTGTATTGTCGTCACTTACTATCATGACAAGATGGTGGGGTCAAGGAGGGGAAAACACGGGATGGACCCAGTAATCGACGGATGAATGTTATCGTAGGATTCCCGCAATATGGACTGACAAGGACAGACAGAGAAATCAGAATCTCCCATTCAAAGACCCCTAGGGACCTACTACTTCCTTGAGCTTTTCTTCTTCCTCATATCTACAACGCAGATAGTCTAGGCCATAGAATTGGCTTACATCAACACCAAAGATGCACCTTCGCGATGGCATGTGGCTACCTGCCCAAGACTTCCGAACTGAATATGCCGAAGATGTCTACGAAATCACCCCCAACCAAGACCAACAGGCATTGAGCTTGCTATGTCCGACAAAGCACATTCGGACTCGTGGAGATGGCCTCAACCAACCTACTCTTACTCTTGATATCAAGGCCGAGATGGACGGCATCATTTCGATTGAGAGCACACACTGGGCTGGTGCTCAACGGACAGGTCCCAACTTTGATCTCTTTCCTGCTGGCCAACCAAAGGTCGAGGGGAAGATTCTAAAGACTGACAAGGGAACCACACTCCAGTCTGGATCCTTGTCTGCTACTATTCACCCCGATCAGCACAACTTCGACATCAAGTTCCACAGCTCTGATGGCAAGAAGCACCTGACGAATCTCGGCAACCGCAGTACTGGCTTTGCCTACTCCCCTGCTCCTACATCGCAAATCCAGACTGGAAACATGGACGATTTCAAGCACTATATGTTTATGCAAACAACTTTGTCTGTTGGCGAGTCTGTTCATGGTCTGGGTGAACGATTCGGTGCCTGGAATAAGGTTGGCCAAAATGTTGTTCTTTGGAATGCAGACGGTGGCACCTCGAGTGATCAGGCCTACAAGAACGTTTCTTTCTGGATGAGCAACCGCGGATATGGTGTGTTCATCGATTACCCTGGCAAAGTCGACCTCGAGATTGGTAGCGAGCGATGTTGTCGTGTGCAAACAACTATCGAGGGCCAACGTCTCAAGATGTACATCATCTACGGCGACGGGCCCAAAGACGTTCTCAACAAGTACACTGTCCTCACTGGAAAGGCCAACAAGGTTCCTAGCTGGAGTTTTGGTCTTTGGTTGACTACCAGCTTCACCACCAACTACGATGAAGCCACCGTCAACTCCTTTCTGGAAGGCATGAAGGCTCGCGGCTCGCCTGTCGACGTCTTCCACTACGACTGCTTTTGGATGAAGGCTTTCCGGTGGACAGACTTCATCTTTGACTCTGAGCGTTTTCCTGATCCCAAAGGTCAGATCTCGCGTCTCAAAGAGAAAGGCCTCTGCAAAAAGGTCTGCGTCTGGATCAACCCCTACATCGGCCAAGCTGGTGTTGCCTTTAAGCATGCCGCTGAAAAGGGCTATCTTCTTAAGCGTAAGAACGGCGATATCTGGCAGTGGGACTTGTGGCAGGCCGGTATGGGTCTTTTGGACGTGACAAATCCTGAGGCTTGTGCTTGGTATGTCGAGTGCCTTAACAGCCTCTTCGATAAGGGTGTTGATGCCCTCAAGACCGACTTTGGCGAGCGTATTCCCACTCTTGGTGTCCAATGGCACGACCCCACGATCGATCCTCACAAAATGCACAATTACTATGCATTCGCATACAACAAACTCGTCTATGAAGCTCTTCAGAAACGATATGGTAACGACGAAGCCGTTCTTTACGCCCGTGCTGCCTGCGCGGGAGTACAAAGATTCCCTCTTGTCTGGGGTGGTGACTGTGAGTCCACGCCAGAAGCACTCGCTGAGTCTGTCCGCGGCGGTTTGTCCATGGGTTTGAGTGGTTTCACCTTTTGGAGTTGTGATATTGGTGGCTTTGAAGGTAGCCCTCCGCCATGGATCTACAAGCGGTGGGTCGCCATGGGTCTCTTGTGCAGCCACAGTCGTCTTCACGGAAGTAACTCGTATCGGGTGCCCTGGATTGTTGACGACGACGATACTACTGAGGAAGGATGTTCAAAGACCCTGGCCAAATGGACGGCGCTCAAGACTCGTCTGATGCCGTACATCTTCTCTCAGGCGATAGAGTCTATTGAAGATGGAATTCCCATGTCCCTGCGGGCTGTTGCCCTTGAGTTCCCCGACGACCCTACCTCGTGGTTCCTCGATCGCCAGTTCATGGTCGGATCTCAGCTCCTGGCAGCTCCCATCTACGAAGAGTCTGGCGAAGTCGAGTTCTACCTACCCAAGGGCAAGTGGACATGTTACTTTACCAACGAAGTCAAGTCGGGTCCTGGCTGGTTTAGAGAGAAACACGCTTTTGGTACTCTGCCCCTTTACGTCCGTGAGAACACGGTTCTTGTCCTCGGTAGCCGTAAGGAGGTCGGTGCTGCCTACGATTTTGCCAACAATGTTGAGGTTGCTCTGTACCAAACTCGGCCTGGCTCCAAAACCACAGTGGTGGATGGCGAGGGAAATACCGTTGCTGAACTTGTTGTTGGTGATGACGGTAAGCTGCAGGGTACTAATCAACTAAAGGGCGATTCCAAGGTTGCGGAGAACGGACGTGACTTGGAGGGAGATGCCCTTGTATATATTGAGTCCCTGTGATGCTATGTGAAGAAGACAGGATAGTGAATAGAACTGTCAACGCGAACAGCTAGACAATGCTCTCTACATGTGGTGCTTCGTCAGATCGAGACTCAAAACCTAGACGTAGCTACCAAAATTGTCCCGAGTAGATCGTCAGCTGTCGATCTCGGCATCTAATTGCCCGAAGCTGCGGATATTGGCAGGTATCCGTTGATGTTTGGTAAAGCCATTGGAGCTGGAGCTACTTCTGAGTTGCGACATGGATGTCAGCGCCAACGGTCAGCACTAGATCAGTTACGCCCTGTCTTCGGGCCCTCCTTCTATCTAACGTATTTAGTCCAAGAGTCTCATTCATAGCTCGACAATAATCCTTTGAACCGTCAAGTACCTGGCCTGACATGCGACACATATGCTCTCCCCACTAATGGAGACTATACTGTCATGGAACTTCAGGGTCTCGATTTGGGGGCATTGGGGGTTGCCCAAAGAGGAAATTTTCAGACGCTCCAATGCGATATGATTGGTCAAGTTCCGTCATGGTCTGAGACCTGCAGTCTGTTGTGAAAATGTCATAAATCCAAGTATCATAAACTGTGTCAAATTCAGCACTTGATTGATTCTCTGCTTGCCAACGAGAACTTCTACAACATCCCAGATTCAGTTTTTATGCCTCCCCGATAGTAAGTTTGTACAAATATGGCTCCAGATTAAGATATAAAAATGAAAAATGATTATGGTGGTATTCGGTATATCCTTGCAGTGTGTCATTTTGATCTAGCATTGCCACGATGTAGCCCAGACACACAATCTAAAGAGCAGCATCTGCATATACTCGTGTAGCTATGACAAGTATCAACTCGGGCTCCTACCTAAAACATCTTGCGGTCTTCTTCTGTCCTAACAATCGTAGTCAAACTTCATGAAATGTACCTATGTATTGATGATCTGAGCTCGGGTAACCCGAAAGTCGGCCTATAGAGTTACAATCAGAGACGTGATTGGCCCGGCTGTAAGTGAAAGCGAGAGTGATCAAAGGTACCTTTACTTTACTTCACTTACCTATTCTAAACATGCGAATTCATATTTAGCCGAATTGAAAAGGTCAGATCAAGGGCCATATGCCAAGTTACTGTACTGCCTCTACTGAGTTCCTGGACGGCACAAGGTATGCCCCGATGACTGGTCAGACCACAACTGTAGTTCAGTCTTCACAATGCTATACGCGGTTTCTTCTACTGATCTCGCTACCTTTGGCATTTAGCCGGCACTGGCGAGTGATAGTTGGCGTTTTATTTCTCCGACCGCTCGGTGCCGACCCGGAATCGCCTCGAAGGAGCCTTGTTTAAGAAGCCGATGACTGTCATGATCGGCCTTGGCATGCCGTGTTACGTCTTCCCGTCATGTCATCTTGCTGTATGCCACCAAGATGACCCATTTATAAATCCTCGACGATCATGTGTAGTACTTCGAACCTAACGGAAGCCAACACTTGCGTGGTGATAAGGGCACTCCATTGTCTAGTGATACGACTATCGAGACATTCCCTAGACCCCCTGGGTGAGTAGATTTAGATAGGTGGGACCATGGAGGCTACAGTGATTAACATAGAACCATCTCCAGGGGTATCGAGAATGGAGCAATGACTCTGGGGAAGAAGATCGTACAAATAAACTCGAGGGCCGCCGCCTATCACTTCTGGGTACTTTATCCACCTCGGTTCCAAGTTTGAAGCTCCTCACTCGACGTAACGAAACACAGATATCATACAGCCCTAAGAGGTATTTGAAAGGTGTCACAATGGGGAAAGCCTACAGCATTGGCCTGGCTTGCTTCGCAGCCATAGGGTGCGTATCACCACTAAAACTTCAATAGTGATACTGACAAGCATTGTTCGAATTCAGCTCCTTTCTATTCGGCTACGACTCTGGTGTTATGACAGATGTCATCGCCTCGAAGCACTTCCAAAACTACTTCGACACAACATCCACTTCTTCCATCATAGGGGCCATTAACTCTACATTCAGTGGGGGTGCGGTATTCGGAGCCTTGTTTGGTGGAGTGATTATGGATAAATTTGGTCGAAGGAAGACTATTGGCATTGGTGCATTTATTTGCACGATTGGTGGTGTTCTCCAAGCTGCCTCTTACCAGTATGTGTCTTTTAGGTTACTGAACTCTCTCGCTTATTGTTGACTAACACATTACTTAGCCTTGCTATGATGCTAATCGGACGGATCATTGCTGGCTTTGCCGTTGGTCTACTCTCTATGAGTGGTGAGTTTCTCTATGCTGTCCTATCAACTCCATGACTGACAACCATTGAAGTCCCAGTATATCAAAGCGAATGCGCCTCTCCTAAGAACCGAGGCCTCATCGTTGGACTCGCCCAACAAATGATCGGGGTCGGCTTCATTGTCTCTACTTGGGTTGGATACGGCAGCCATCACATGCCTGATACTTCATCCTTCCAATGGCGATTCCCTCTTGCATTCCAAGCATTTCCTTCCGCGCTGTTATGCCTGGGTATGCTCTGGCTTCCCGAAACTCCTCGCCATCTCATTGCGACCGACCAATTGGACGATGGGTTGAGGACACTACGGAAGTTGCACTTCGACGGCTCAAATGAAGACTGGATCAAGTCTGAGTTCAATGAGATCAAGCTTACTATAGACGCCGAGAAGGCTGCCACTGCACCAGGCTGGCTGATTATGTTCAAGGTACCACAGTGGCGAAAGCGACTTATGCTTGGAACTCTGGTACAGGTGTTTACTCAGTTTACTGGTAAGTTTCCCGGTAGACGATTCTACTCATCACAGATTTGTTCGACAAGGACATGCTAACATTGCTTGTAGGAATTAATGTAATCGGGTAAGCAACTCCTCCCCAGATTCCTTCAGCTCCGCTCTTAGCATAAACATAAAGTCTCCCGGATGAAAGCTTCGAATCTCACTAACATGATACAAGATACTACCAAACCATCATGTATGAGAGCCTTGGCATTACTGGTAAGACGAGTCTGCTCGTGGCAGGGATTTACAACTGCACTGGCCCCCTCGCGAGTAAGTCACAAGCCCTTTATCTCGCACAGCAATACACTAATAACACTGCTCAGACTTGGTCTTCATCACCTTGATCTCGGATAGAATTGGCCGAAAGAGGCCTCTTATTTATGGTATCATCGCCATCACCATCGCTTTAATCCTAGAGAGCGTTGTCAACAGCCAAAATGTCGACGGCAAGCACCACGGCCTTAGTATCGCTGGCGTTGCTTTCTTATTCTGCGTCACTGTCATCTTCTCACTATCCTTCGGTCCCGTTAGTTGGACGTACATGGCCGAAATCATGCCTTATCAGATACGAGGTAAAGGATGTGCTTTTGCCACAGGCATCGGAAACTGGCTCGTCTCGACCTTTTGGAACCAAGTCAGTCCTTTGGCACTCAAAGAATTAGGCTGGAAATTTTACTTTCTATTCGTTGGTAAGTAGACGCCTGCAACTCTTTCAGGTTCAGCTAATTTATATGGAATAGCGTTCAACATTGTCATTACTCTTCCTACTCTCATCTTCGCCTTCCGAGAGACAAAGGGTCTGTCTCTTGAAGAGATCGACCTTATGTTTGGAGATCGAGCTCTAGGAAATCTACCAGGGGATCTTGAGAAGGATGGCGGCGTTGTTGCTGTGACAAATTCGCACGATGAAAAGCCCGACTCAAAACTGTAGTTTTCGTATGCAAGATACAGTTTCTTTCATTTTTACTGTGAACTTCTTGCTTATGTGTTTGAAAGGTGACAATGTACGGATCTCATGCCAAGATGTTATTTACGATCATTTTCGTAGTTTCAGTGCAGGTTCAGGAAGAGCGTGCGTGGGTTTTCTAAAGTCAAGTATGCTAGCTACTGAAGATAGGTGCTGTCCCTTACATGCAAGTCACAAAGACATCCCCTTATGGAGCGCAGTTTGGCTGGCGTTTTAACAACTAGCTACTCAATCCGGTATGGCTGACGATATCTTCGAATTCTTCAACAATCGCAGACAACCTAGGGAACATGGCTCTCAATACAGGAATGCTTCTTCAACAATTTACCGGCCTTCCGGTCTACTAGCTCGAGATAGAGTACAATAATGCCAATTGCAGGCCCCTCCATCATCAAACAGCCTAAAATCCATCCGGTATGGTGTAGTGGCTAACATTTCGCGCTCTCATAACTGAGAGATCAGTACCGCGGAGCCCAGGGTTCGATTCCCTGTACCGGAGTTTCTTTTTTTGCACTTTAAACAATCAGTCTCGCTCGGTTTATCATCCATCACCCATAGTGACCAGTCAGTGCAGTTGTGTGTTGTTTATTTAAACGGTAAATGGATAGCAAAGTGCAAAAGGCGCTTGAGGGCATGTTCAATAGATAAAGAACATTGTATAGCAAGTAGTCCGAAAATAAGGTAAAAAGACTTATGGTATACCGGTCTTCTTCCTTTCTGGTACGATTTGTATGTGTTACATGTATGTAGGTAGGTAGGTATGAATTGTGGTAATACAACTGCAATTAAACTGCCAGCAATAAATTGAAAGCTGTATTAATCTATCAATGCCTTATCTTATCTGTTATCGTGGTCAGAAAGTGCTTTATCCGGCACCGGTCATTGTATCATCCGTGTTTTGTCCAATCAGGAGAGACCGCGCTCGGAAATGTGGTCATGGGCTACGGGAAGGCGGGCAGCCTCGCTTCTTGTTCCAGCTTCTCCTCGTCGTCCCAGCACAACCGATCAAAATTGCTTCCGATCAAGCGTACCGCACCAACACGACTTTTTGTTTCGAATTGAAGCTTTCCTCCCTTCCAGCGATCACCTTGAGTCTTTTAGCGCCATCCGCTCGTTCTCGACGCGCCCAGACGGCCTGGCGCCTCCCCGTCGCTTCACCCTCAATACCGACCGAGTCGACTTTTCATTCCAACAACTGCTTGTCATGGCGTCGCAGCAGGTTCTCTTCGCTGAGACAATAGCGGGCATGAAAAAGGCTTTTAAAAGGAAATCATATGGTACGCAAATTTTGTGCGCTTTTTTGCGCCTGAAGAATCCCCAGCTGACCGTGCCAACCACAGAGTCCGACTCAGATTCCGAAATCGAGAGCTATAGCAACCGTGGAAATAAGCTCAAGAAGAAGGCACGATTTGCCCGTCAAGGGCAATTGGTTCCGAATAATGGCCCGAGCTCCTATAAAGAGGTTCGTCACGTAGACAAACCCTCTTTACCCATCACTGACCTCACCAGTATGTCGAATACGCCGGCGTGTGCCGACCAATCCTTTGTCGCAATCCTCCCTTAGTCGACGAGGAAGGATATGAGATAGACAGCGACGATGAGGACGAGGAGCGCGTACACGAAGCCGAGGCCTCGGCCGCGGAGTTGAATCCATATGCCAACATTCAAATAGAGAGTATGTCGATTTCTTTGAAAGTCAATGACACAGCTAATGAAAGTAGATATCCTTGCACCACTTACCGCATCGACCGCCTTACCGACACATCCAACCCTCTCGAAACCCTTCACGTCAAAAACACTTACTCGGCTCGTTGATCAAAGCTGTGACATTATGCGCAAAGAAAATCGTTCGTTGTGGAAAGTCAGGCATCTCCTGACAGCCCTGTGCGGCGACTACACTTGGGTTCCATGCGAGATGATGGTCCGACCGGCAGATGTCGAGCTTTACACAGATAACCATATAGCACGCCATCTATTGGCTCTATCTCAAGCAGTATCAGCGCTTCCTGCAATCACCAATGGCGATATTAGTCAACAGCAAAATGGGGTTGGAGTTGGAGACATTGCACCAGATGCCACCTTGGGCGTGGAAGGAGAACCCATGGATAACGACGCGGCGGAGGATGCTGATATAACCATGACAGATGCGGGGACGGCCGACCCAGATGATTCTCATCTTGAAGATGCCATCGACGATGTGAAAATGGATGCTGAAAATAATGTGGGCATGAACTCGAATGTTCAGAATGGCGAGCAGACGCCAGCTTTACCAGCCAATGTTACTCAAAAGCTCAATGATCAAACAACAAACGGTGTCGTCGAGAGTTCGAACGAACAGAAGCAAGGCAAGCCCGGAGCTGGGGTGGCCGACGCCTCTACACAGCCTACAGCCGGCGATACGCATCAACAAACCGATCTACCTGAGACAATAGTACCAGACGCACCCCTGGTATCCGAAGAAGACGATTTCATTCATCCTTTGTTCCTTGCACCTGCAGGTGCAAGGCCAGATAGGGATATTGGTTTGCCAGATCAAGAAGCAGAAGATGTCCGGCGGCTACTAGCTCTGTATGTGCAAAAGCAAGAAGAGGTCTGCCGGGGAGCAAAGAAGTTGTTCTTGGGGCTTCTCAAAGCTGAGCAGCTACGAAAAGATGTGCTCCACTGGTCCAAGGCAGAAGCTCATGCAGGGCCTAACCGAGACATGTCGGACGGCGAGGATTGGTACGACAAGGAGGAATGGGGCTTAACAGAAGATCTTAAGAAGGGGCAGGACGAAGAAGAGGAGGACGTCCAGACAACAGGCAAGAAGACGAGAAACCGCCGCCAATAACGCTGGGTTCTTTTGCTGTTACGGGATGATAATGACTGATTCGTCGGGGTTGATTGTTTGGGCGTTCCAAGGATGGCGTTTAGAATATCCGCGATAAGAGCGCATGATTTTGCAGCATCCATACATAGGTATGAATATTAAAGCATTTTAATAATTCTGATGATTTGACCCAGTTGTCGGCTAGTGAGGCTTCTCTCCCAGCTTGGACGGTTGAAATTGGGTGAAGAATGGTTGCCTTACTTGATTGGTTGCAAGGATGTTGTTCTGTGTGTGAGTGAATGAAAGCCGGCCTGGCCCCCGGGATCGGGTGGTTGTCTTCGGTTGATGTTCCTCTGAAGCTCTCTCGATCCGAACATTCTCCACTAATTTCCAGCACAGTACCTGCTATCCATTATGACGCTGCTCTGTCCCGTACCGTACCTAACCCGTAACCTGTTACCTACCCCCGGTCCTTTCCTCTTCCGCTTTCCAGTCTCTTCCATGTGACAGGACAAGCAGGACAAGCCAGCAGAGCACCTGCTGCACCTACCCTAGCTCCCTAGGCTCTCTCTTTCTTCAGATTCTCTTTTCAATCCTCTCTTTCTTCCATTTCCCCCATCTTACTGTAACAACAAACAAAGTTGGTTGTCTGCACTTTCCAGCTCTCTGTTGTCAGTGACTTATACGTGAACTTGTTACATCAGTGATCATCACGTCTACTTACCTCACTTTATTCTATTACCTATTGCTCTCAGCCATCATCATGGGCATCATGGCTCTTGGTCCGCAAGATTTCATCGACTATGTCAACTACGACAAGCAGAGTCTGTACAGTAAGTTGACCTGGGTTCTGCCTTTGTGTAAGTAGTAGCGAATCTAATCCGGTCTATTCGTTCGTTCCAGTCTCAGCTGCCTCTATTGCCTTTAACCCACTCTTCTGGAAGTGAGTTACTCAGTCCCAAAGTGACGACCTATCATTACTGACTTGTTTTTCCCAAGCATCGTCGCCCGTCAAGGTATGCAGAGCTCGTAACGTAAACACGTATGATACGCTATTGTCGACTAATACTGAACGGCTGAAAGAATACCACAATAAGCTCCTTACAAAGCTCTTTGGTGGGAACTCCAAAGCTGCCTGCTACGCCCTCGCCTTCACCATATTCTCTCTCGGTATGGTTCGCGATTTGATCTACAAGAATGCCATCTCCGAACAGCCCACACACCCCGCCCTTGTGAGCGACTTCATACAAGCTGCCGCTGCCGCGCTCTTCATTGTCGGTAATGTTCTGGTCGTCTCTTCAACCTGGCGACTTGGCATTACTGGTACCTTCCTCGGTGACTACTTTGGTATTCTCATGGACGAAATGGTGACTGGCTTTCCCTTCAACGTGACCGGTTCTCCCATGTACACTGGCTCTACCTGCAGCTTCCTTGCCACCGCCATGTGGTATGGCAAACCCGCCGGTGTCCTACTCACCATGTGGGTTCATATTGTCTACAAGCTTGCCCTACGTTACGAAGATCCCTTTACTTCTGAGATTTACGCCAAGCGTGAGCGTGAGCGTGCTGCGGGTAAGAAGTCCAATTAAGCCCCCTAGCTATGCGTCGCTACTCTTGCAATTGAAAAGACTACACGAGTGGCGAGGGCGAGATAATACGGAGGTAGAGCCTCACTGTTCGCGTCTAAAAAGGCAAGCGGAGTGAAGGTTGCATGACAACCTGATTCTATGCACTATTGTGCAATGTGCACCAGGTTGGCACAGGAAAGCTGAGCCTTTCAACAGGCCAGGTGCCTCTCAACAGGCTAAAGGAGTTTCCGAACACAAACAGACACCTATACCATGCTGTTACCGACATCAATCAATCGGTGGGCATAAGGTACATTTGATCATATATATACCAATACCAGACTCAACATTCAGATGTGAGGCAAGATGCGAGCAACTCATATCGAATATCAACTCGATGCCTTTCATGGCCTTCTCCTAGCATGACTACATTTTCCCTCTCTCCATATGTGATTGCATGGTGTGACAACCAGAAGTGTAGTAATTGTAAGTCAGCTCGCTAAGGACGCGCACAAGGTATACCGTAGTCATGAAAGTCGAGGAGCGAGTATTGATCAGTCAGTGACAACCTAAAACGATGGCAAACACGAACTGTGGTTCAGTTAAGGCACGATAAAATAGCGTCTGAAGCGTTCGGCTCATTCAATCATTCCTCATAACTTGAATTGAGCATCTACTCTACATTCCAGCAGTCCTGTAACAGAATCTAGACAGGCCATTGCTCGTTTTTGTTTCACGCCTCATGCATCATTCAAGACCAATAACCCGGTTTCCTTTTCAACAACAACATCGACTCCAACTTCGGCCGAGCTTGAATACCTATGTCTCAGAGGGCTTGTTGTCGGGAAGCAGATCAACAGCAGTAGCCTCGACAGGTTTCTTCTCCTCGGTAGACTTTTGTTCAGTTGCAGCCTCGCCGGCCTTCTCAGCTTGACGGAGGGCGAGTTTCTGCTGCTTCTTCTTCTCCTTGGCAGCCTTCTTAGCCGCGGCCTTTTCGGCCTCGAGCGCCTTTTGTTTTCGGATCTCCTCACCCCCGAAGGCCTCCCGCCATTCATCGAGCTTGGATGCAGGAATCTGTGTGAAGAGGAGCTTGGGCTCGCCAATCTTTTGGCCAGGCTTGATCAGATCGCCAGACCACGTCTCGGGAATCGATACAAGGCCAGGGCTGCCAATCTGCTCAAGGATTGCCTCAGAAGTCGAAGGCATGTATGGGTACACAATGCTAGCCAGCAATTGTAAGTGGTTGATACCAAGACCGATGACAGCAGCGCAGCGGTCGGGCTCGTCGACCAGAAGCTGGTTGTTCAGCTTGCTATCTTGCAAAAGCTTGTTGCCAAGGGCCGAGATGTGCATAACAGAGGCAAGACCAGCACGAAGTTTGATGGCATCGAACTGGGAGATGAAGGTCTTGAGGGCCTCGTTGACCTCCTTCTTGTGCTCTTCTAGGCGTTCGTCTGTATACTTGGTGTAGTCTGGCACAATACCATCCATCTTGGCCTGTGCGAACTTGAGGATTCGCTGATTCAAGTTACCAAGGTTCTTGAGAAGGTCGTTGTTGTTGCAGTCAATGAACTCCTGCCACTTGAATTCAGAGTCGGCAGTTTCGGGTCGTCTTGACAGAAGATAGTATCGCCAAACATCGGGATCAACGCCAGTTTCCTTGGCAGTGTTACCGAAAACACCGACGCCGCGCGACTTGCTGAACTTGCCGCCTTCGTAGTTGAGATATTCGGTTGTTGACATCTTGTGAACCTTGGTCCAGTTCTCTCCTGTTCCGAGCTGGGAAGCAGGAAAGATGATGGTGTGGAATCTAGCGAGATGTGTCAGTTACGTCTCAAACCATTGCTTGGGCCCACCAAAGCTACTCGCGCTCGATCTCACTTACGGAACGTTGTCCTTGCCCATGAACTGATAGAGCTTGACGTTCTCTGGGTTCTTCCACCACTTCTCCCAGTTTGTTCCGTCCAAATTGTCACCGTCCACCAGGTTCTTGGTAATGGAAACGTATCCAATGCAAGCATCGAACCAGACATAAAAGACCTTCTCGGCGTACTCCTCGTTACTCAAACCCTCGAGGTCCTGAGGAATAGGAACTCCCCACTTAAGATCTCGGGTGATGCCACGGGGCAGGAGACCCTTATCGATCCATGACTGGGTGATAGAGACACAGTTGGCGCTCCAGTCTCCCTCCTTGCTACTCTTGTGGAACCAGGGCACGAGGAGATCCTTAACGGCGTCGAGTCGGAGAAAAAGGTGCTTGGTCTTTCGCTTCTCAGGGGTAGCGCCGTCGACCTTACAACGGGGGTTGATGAGGAAACCAGTGGCCTTGGCCTCGACATGATCGTCCTCTGAAGCACTAGGCTCACGCTCAGGCTCAAAAGGATCAAGAAGTCCGCCGCAAGCATCGCATTGATCGCCACGAGCACCAAGGTCGTGGCAGATGCTGCACTCTCCCTCAACGAAACGGTCCGCGAGGAATTTGCCGTGGTTAGCATGTGTACAGAATGGCTGAGTAGTTTCACGCTCCTCAATATAGCCGTTCTTCCAGAGCTCCTTGAATATCTGCTGCACAATCTGTGTCTGTTGTTGAGTGGGTGTTCGGCCGAAGATGTCAAAGTCGATACGGAACCAGTCGTAGACTCCCTTGTGAAGGGCGTGGTACTTGGCGCAAAGGTCGGCGGGCGAAAGACCCTCTTCAAGGGCCTTTGTCTCGGTAGCGGTACCGTACTCGTCGGAACCACAGATGTAGATAGTGTTGTGACCTCGAGCTTTGCAGTAGCGGGCAAACACGTCAGCAGACAGAACACTGCCGATGATGTTGCCCAGATGCGGGATGTTGTTGACGTAGGGAAGGGCGGAGGTGACGAGGATGTTGCGCTTGCCCTCTTCGGGGAGGATTGGTGTTTTGGAAGCCATTATAGGCGATTTAGAGTCGCAGTCACTGTATGAATGGACACTTATGGGCAGCAAGGGGATTTTGTGTTGCGAATGGTAGAATTTTTGTGAGTCACAGAGCTGCGATAACGCCTTTGAAGGTCAAAATTCGAAGCTGAGATAGTATGGCGGGGGCGGGGGAGGGGTGATTGGAGAATCGGCCGGGACTCGGAGAGTGGACGGTCTAGGGTAGATAAGCAAAGTAAACAATTGTCCGCATAATTGATTATACTGTATCAACAATCGCGTTATTGCTGAAAGATGGGTGTACTTATGTTTTTGATGATTCTTAGTAAAGTAGGGGATATCCTTCCCAGAAGGATCATTTTAGTCTATCACGAATCGCCATGGTAACGGTAACGTGAACTTGAGTCGTGGGGAATCAACAGCTCATGGAATGGCGATCATCAGCTTTCATACGTTTACTTGGATATGGGTTGTCTTATCAATGAATAGCATCCATCCATCCATCCATTCATCACGAAATCATCCATTAGTTTGACGTCTGTTTATAGCCTATCAAAAGCCTTGTTCAACTTTAATCGAAGCTACCATGTATAATATCCCCTTTCGGTAGACCCTGCTGGGCCCTGAAAGCTGGAGGTGACAAAGTGACGACAGTCACCCCACCGAAACTGGCAAGAGCCCCGCGTCACGGCCCGCGACCAAGTAACCAACCCCACTATCCCTTCTTCAGTCACGGCAGTAGCGAGCAGGTATGCGCCTGACTACTCCCTACTCCGTACTCCATTAGCTACCTACCAACCTTACTTGCCTCGTCTAATCCATAGTTTCTTGTCACCCACAAGAAACAACTCTACCTGAAGTTGCTTCTCTGAGAACGTAACTATCGCCTAGAGTTGCGTCTGAAGCTACGACTGTGTCGTCTCGCTCTTGGCTAACCCCACATTCCTCAGTCTATCATCATTCATCAAACACCTGAGTTACCAAGAGCTATCGTGCTGCCTGAGATAACATCAACCTGACAGCGTTGAGACCGATATCGCACGGGCAACGACACGACCGGAATTGAAATTAGACTTTGGGCAATATAGTTCGCTATGAGCGTGTTCGCAACAGTAAGTACACCCTACCCATCTCTCGTATCTACGCGGAGCCATACAATTGAGACGTTACTCATCGGTAACTCATATGAGCTATTTATATGCTTCTGGACCACTTTCAATACCCAAATATGGTGTGACTAACATTTACATAGAAGAAGCCATTTTCGGCTGTGACTGTGACAGTCGAAAACCTCACCTCCGAGGCATATGAAGAGGAAGATCTCAGTGGCATCCCTGAGCTCGTGGAAGTCATCACCTTGCAGGCTACTGGTCCCACTGAAGCAGCTCGCGCTATTCGAAAGAAGTTGAAATATGGAAATGTCCATCGCCAAATCCGTGCATTAGTTCTCCTCGATGGTCTTATCCAGAACGCTGGAGAGAGATTCCAGCGCACATTCGTTGATGAGCCCCTGCTTGAGCGCCTGCGTGTTTGTGGCACTTCTGACCTATCTGATGTGGCCGTGAGGAACAAATGCAGAGAGCTCTTCCGCTCATGGTCGCAGTATGCTGGAAGACCGGGGCTCGACAGTCTTTCGCGACTCCATAGGGTGAGTAACGACTGCTGCAAACTCCGTTGGCCATATGCTCACTATACCAGGAACTTCCCAAAAGAAAGCAAGCTGTCACTCAAGAGCGATCGAAAGTTCTCAAAGAGACGGAAGATAACCCGTTCGTCGATGATGAACAAGAGGCTGTGGCAAAGGCTGCCCGTGACGCACGGAACGCCTCGGCCCCAACGTCCGGTTCAGCATTTGGCCATGCGCCTTCCAAATCTTCGTCCGGGACCAGTTCATTCTTTGGGGGCTCTAAGGATAAGAAGAAGGATAAAGACAAGGATAAAGCCAAGGGGAAGCGAAAGCCTTTCAACCTCGAGGCTGAAAAGGATCAGATGAAAGCTGTCATCGCTGACTCTTCTATCGCAGCCACAAATTTGATGAATTCGCTTCAAAGCGTTAATCGCGAAGTTGAGCGCATTTCAGAGAACCAAGCCGCTGTTGAACGATTCGAAGCCTGTAAGCTCCTGAGACGAAAAGTGTTGCGTTATGTCAGTTATCTTGAGAACTCGTTTTCGGGAACCAGGCTAATCGTTATCAGGTCCATCACGTCGAAGAAGAGCAGTGGCTAGGAGGGCTGCTTCATGCTAATGATGAGCTTGTCCACGCTCTCATGTCATTTGAGCAATTCGACCGGTCTATTGATGCGGATAGTGACTCTGATGACGAACTTGCTGAGCAAGCTCATCTGTACCGGAGTACGTATTCGCGTCCTTTCTGCGCGGGTTCCAACTGACTCTTTCCAGTGGCCACGATCAAAGGCAAGGAAGCCATGGCTAAAGCAGCGTCCCAATCACCAACTTCCTCACAACCTCCAGACCTGTCCGAATTGAACATTTCCCCTTCTCCCGCCCATGCAGCTCCTCCCCGTCCTCCCCCAATGTCAAAGCCTCACTCAAACCCGCCTCCCCAACCCCCACGACCAGCAGCAATTTCTATTTCACATTCACAAGATGAAGATGAGGATGATGATCCATTTGGAGACTCACATGCACTCGATACGCCCTCACACGAACGTGAGCAGCCTCGGTGGTGAGGGTTAGGAGGTTCAAGGCGACATATGTAGCTTGGAGAGCTGCGGGTGATGATGTAGTAAAAAACAACTTAGCATTGGCCAGTAATACTACAAGAAGATGTTTACCTATGGCACTGCATCATCAGTGAAATCATCTGAAATTAATACATCCGTCTTACCATTTTTAGGCGAGCTTTGAATACATCTCAACAGCGATATATGCGGGTGGGCCCCTAGAACTGTGATCATTCAATCTTGGGACCACGCAGCTCAAACAATAGACTTGGATATATTTGTTGACAATGTCTAATCGCTACTCTCATCTATATCCAAGTCAATACTTTGCTCAAGTTAGTGGTCGTCGATCTTGTTGGTGGGTAGCGTGCAAGCAGTCAGGGCAGTGGGCATCATTGAAAAGATGATCTTGACGAGCTAAGCGCCAGAAAACCCCACGCATAATGTGGCTGGACGAAGGGTCCATCAATTTCAGGTCGCTCATCTTACCGTATATGAATAACAGGACATCGAGTCAGTTCATCCGCTTGGTGCTGAATCCTCACATTATCGCGGGTCTTATCGCCCCGAGATGTCCCAGACCGCCTTCGATCAATACACGGTCTGATACGGCGGTGTCGGTGTCGCACTGCACACTCCCCGAATGTATTCTGATAGGCACTACGTAGTCTATACTATACAATGCGTGCAGCTAATATGCATGAATGCGTGGAGTACAGGGCCGTTAATCTCCACGCTGCAAGCAATAATGCACAATCTACAATGCTTCATTTGCTTTGTAGATCTTGCGGTCAGCAAAGCAAAAAAGACCGTCTCAAAGTATGTACTGTACATACACACTACACCATATCCATTACTGCAAGTACCACACAAGAGTTAGTAGTTCCCGGTATCCGTACCGCGTGGGCAAAAAGCAAAGGAAAAAGAAAAAGTTTCCGAGACAGGCCTGTTTAGGTTATGACAGCTCCGATCGAAAGTAGTCAGACTACAGTACCTACCTATGTATGTACAGTCTCAAGGACGGGCACTTGCACCCAAGTTTAATTGCTTGTGCTTGATCTGCGCAACATGTCATGATCCTGACCGAATGTTGGCCGTTTGTGCCTGTATTGGGTCAGAGATTACCCAAGTAGACTACTATGTGCTATACGAGGCAAAACACCTAGAGACGACCAGATACACAGATCTGTCTGTCAAAGATTGCCGGGATTGCGGCGGGTCTTATTCGCGTTGCATTGATCGGACATGGCGGTATGAACATATGTACAGTACCTATGGTATCCGTAAAGTCGAGTCTAGATGATCTAATCACTGCGGACGCGAGAGAGCATCGATAATGATTAACTGCCACATCAGAGCTGACATCGAGATGGCGTGTTCCTGAACAGCTGGCCGAAGCTTTATTGATCGACATGCCCGTCTCGCTTGTTGAAAGCGTTGCGAACAGGGCAGCTCCCTTTCTGATGCATGTACATATGTACATGAATGACATTGGAACTGGGTAGTCAACAAAAGTAAAGCTTATAACTTCTGTGGAACGATTCTGTGAGCTGTCCTAGGTACAAACGCAACATCAGCATGGGGCAGGTCATTCTCTGGTTGCGTTGTCGTTGTGCGGTCAAGCTTCGGGCTGGCTGATCTGGGTTTTGCAGTTCAGAATACAGTAGGTACCTTACAGAGTCCAATTGGATGTGAGCGCAAGTAAACGGTGACAGTGGAGGCTGAGACACCCATTCTGTTTGGCACCACAAATGCGGGAACGCGCAGGTGGGTGTCTGGGTGTCTGTCTGTCCCTAAAACCGCGTCGACGGCAATCTCAGCCCGGACCACCCAGAAGAGTCCACTTAGACTGGTCGTGGAGTATGTAGAGTAATTAATCAGGCACCTAGAGAGGCTGCAGGAGATTACTGTACTTTACAGTAATCGTTAGCAGCCCAGTCCACATGATCATTCAGGAGCAGCTTCTTGTGTTGAGTTGACTATCTACCAGCCACTCTCACTCTCACTCTCACTCTCACTCTTGAAGCAATCCCCACCTCACCGGAGCTTAGTGTGAAGCGATACGGATACAAACCATCGTGACCGAGTTCGAAGTTGGTCGCTAACTGACTAAGTTCCTTGAAGCTTCTAGCGTCGTATCCGGGGAATATGTTGACAGACCAACGTTAATTGCGAAAGAAGCAAAGGTTGGTACAGTACTGACCGATTGACTGACTGACTGACATCAAACGAAAGTCCTCGTGGCAGCCATAGGCCAAAGACACCCCTGCATTGGCCCTGCATTGGTGCGCTGTTGGTCTAGAGTAGGTGCCTGTTTTGGTGCATAGAGGGGAATGGGAAAGTCAAAGCATCCAATGCGTTCAGCCCTGAAAGAGCACTGTCCAACGTCACCCTTTGACCTCCGCTACTCCACTGCTTCTGGAAGCCTTCCATCATTTGTTTCATCCTCTGTACCTGGCGCACGTTCCAAGGCTCAAGGCTCTTGGATGCATTCCAGGGACCCCTGGGCGGACACAGCACATCGGCCAAACTCCCGGCTGGTGTTGATGATGGCCGGCACTGAAGGGAGAATAAAGATCACGCCCTGGGAAAAGTTTGACCGCAGGTTCTCATCGATATGCTGAGCCGTGTCTAGCAACCTGCATTGCATGGCCTTATTAATTCGATATACTGTACTTCGTACTTGTGGCGTAACACTGAAACCATCCGACTGTTGGCCGTTGGTTGTCGGCTATTACATCCTCTTATTCATAGGAAATTGTCGATCATCGGACAGACAGTTCTAAATAACGCCCGCCCCACGACCCAAGTTTAGATTTCGAGTCATTGCACGGTTGCGCCGCCGTAACATGAAAAGCTTTGATACGATCGACCAAAGAACACAGCGATGGATTTGCGACACCCGAAAGCCTTGGCCAGTTGTATTTCTCGGCCATATGCGGTTCATCATGATGTCTTTTCCAAGTTCTTTGTTTCAAGTAAAAGTCACGGCGGACTACTAAACAAAGATGTTTTGAAGACGGCGCGTTTCCCAAGTTAACCAAACCGATGCGATGCGATGCGTCTTAACATATCCAACGCAGAGAGAGTATTCCTCTTGTCATCTTTCATGCACAAGTATGTTGGCCATTGATTGCGATTCTCGAACCAAAATAAGATATGAGCCACCTGCGCTAAGACGGAGAATATAGTGTCAAACTGTTTCATCAATGCTTCGAGTCTGTCAAGGTCAGCGTCCGAGCACAAGACACAGGAATAATTCGTACAGCCGCCAAGCTTTTCGCATTTAATCCTTCAAGCCACCAGCCATCTTGGGGTCGGTGCATCGCCTTCCCCGAAAATGGCGTACGGATGGCGGGACGAACGGACTGGAATGGAGGTGCTGGCTGACAGCTTTTCAACAAAACTCCATATCGCTTCTAATAATAAGTGACATGAAACTGATAAAAGAAGCCTTGCTGATATGATACTACACTATAGCACCAAAGAGGGGTGCCTTCGCCAACATATTTGAACCTCGACGATGGTATGTGCGCAACATTTCTCTGAGGGCTCTGTGACTTTTGCCAGCATGTTTTGTTTGCTCGGCTGTTCATCCATGCCTCAGCAAACAAGACAAACCCAAGCCACATGTATGGCGTACCACCCACGACGTGTAAGAGCAGTTCGCCCCTCACTTGTCACCCTCGAGTTTCCTTTGTTAGAATGCTTCTTTGTGCATACATAGCCTATAGCAGAACAATACTCGACCAGTCTGCGTTAACTTAATTTGGATATGAATGGAGGTTATGTTGGCTCTTGGTGTGACATGATCCTTTCTGCATGTGAGTGTCGTAAGATAGTATAAGTAATAAAAGGCCTCATCTGATATCTTGAACTTGACTCGAGCTTCGATACCCCCACGTACCTCGGACACGATTACCCAGCTCGTAAGGCTGTCATCTGTAAATGTAGGGTGGGCTCAGCAACAAGCGGAAGAGCAGACCAAGGCTCGAAAGACAATCGAGAAGGGTTTGTGTCGGAGCCGCAGAGTGTCTATGCCTGGGTGTTGTAGAACTGCAATTATTACATGACTCTCTCTCTTTGGGGATACAGTGGTAGATGGCTTCACTGAAATCGCTTCAGAATAGTCCCTTAAGCCATAGCTATAGCCTCGGGGCATTTGATCCATGCGTACGGGTGAGGTTTATTTGCGTTTTGGTTGCGCCATACGTCATTAGCGAGCGATCTGAAGGTTGCCATTCATACCAGTCTCCCCACCAGAGCGTAGTTTCGAGCGGGTAGTGCGCCATGGCTGCACAGCGACGCTTTCTCGAACTTCTCAAACTTCTCGAAAGCCGCCAGAACAAATAGAACTGATCCATGCTCCTGCAGCACGGGGCAGTTGAAGATGGGGCCCCAGGAGCATGGGGCCAGGGCCAGGGCGGCCGGTACAGTGCTCTTACGTATGTCTCAAGTCAGAGAGTCACACGAGACAATATCCATATAACCCATAGATATGAGATAGAAAAGCCGAGCGGGATCGGGGAATAATTGATTGATAACTGGTTAAGTAGAAAGCTGGGTGGGCTGTCTCAGTACCTATTAACTTGCCTGCCAGTCAGCGAATGTGAGTTTTATCTCATGCAGGGGACAATTCTAAGGTACCTACCTACCTAAGGAAGGAGGGGTGAAGTGACAGTACTTGGGCGGGCAGGCAATTCAGAAGGTGGGATGGAGTGGAGGGGAAGGGAGGCCAGAGCTAGGTACTGTGCTACGTACCTAGTAGTGAGCAGGTCCAGGATGAAATGCTAATGGATCGAAATGAGAAAGTTGCATCGAAGGACGGAAAGAAGCTCAATGGAAGAAACGACATGGTCTTGGGCGCAACGCTACGCTCGGACTTGCATTGTCACACAGACGCTAGATCCGCCTTTGCATTACCATTGTTCCAGAAGGTTTCTCGAAACCTTCCTCGGTGAGCTAGTGTCATTTCCGAATTTGTAATGATTCCATGATAGCCCTGGCTAGTTATCGATATCAGCCAATCATAGGCCAGTAGCTGATTCTAGTCCCTGTTGTCCTGTCGCGTTTAATACCCAAACTTGTTAGTCTCTTCTGAATCCGACCTTTACTACGTACCTTTTCCCCTCTCCCATCTACCTCTAGCTATTTGTTAACACACCCCTTTTCAAATTAAATCAACCCAACTCAACACCAACCGCTCATCAGCGTCATGGTGGATCTTGCTCTACTTCTGGCACCGGGTTAATAGTTTTTTTTAATAAGTTAAATCATACATATCTTGTTTCTAATTGTTGTGTGGTATCTGTATATGCGCCTGTATTTGCTTGCATTGTCAACGCCGCACTTGCGGGGACGAGAACATGTACAGTATAGCAGGTACCTAGTAGACAGGCATCTGGAAGATGGCGGCTGCAACAACGAAAGCCATTTCCGAAACTAAGGCGGTGTAAGTTCAATTCTATCTCTTTCTGAAGGTAAATCCATTATGATGCATCTAAATTCTAAAAAACTGTCAGGTACCGACGAATCAGTCCCACCTCAGCCCACTACCTACACCAAGTACGGTAAGTATCTCAATACACAGTGCAGGGTTGCTGACTCCAACGCCGGGGAGCGCCCAGACCATCCGCTTCGTATCCGATTGGGCACATAGTCACTGGGACGACCTTCAACCCAGGAGCAGCAAACATCCCATGAGCGACAGCCTCATGCGCATTGCATGCATTGACAGCCTAGTCAAGCTACGAACCATCGCAGGGAAAGAGCGGAATAAGAAGTGACACCGCCTTCACCGAACCATAGAGAGAAGGATAATGGATGTGATATGCACTTAACCCAGGGGCAGGCAGGCAGTCTTTGTTCACATCAGTCGAGAGAGGGCGCTATTGACTGCTTCGGCCTCGAATCCTTGGGCCATCCATCCAACGGAGAACGAACAAAGAGAAGTCATGGGTGCTAGTCAACTTACAACGCCAGGTGATCAGATATTGAAATTGCATCGCGGCAACATCTCCTACGTATACAGCTTCAGGCAACGCTCTGCCTGATATCGGACGGTCCTGAGTCGCTTTCACCGAAATTCAGAATAACGCATGGCTGGAGGTTGATTAGCGTCAACCAGCAACCCAGCACTTTTTGTCGCCTATGGCGCAGGAAAACGATCATCAACAAAACGCTGCCAAGGGGGAGGTGGATTCTTGTGTGAGGCAAGCCACACTAGGTCTCAAGTAGTGGACAGGACAACGCGACACCGCCAGTGAGTTTGATGGGTCATGAGCACTGAAATCTTCTGGAAGCCGGGCAGCCAGATCTGCCATCCATACACAACAGCCACCACTAAGTTAGCCCGCCCTCCCCTGGTAGCCCAACATCATCCAGCGTCCAGCTCTGAGCAGCCCTGACTGTGCGCCAAATTGACGGGACCCGTTTGAAATCCCCTAGGGACAGACCTGGGTTATTTTGAGGGGCGCACACGCACAGTCGCAGGGTACAGGGGAGATTCATGACGTCGGGCTTGGCAAGTAGGGGTAAGCAGGGGAGACTGATGCGTTGTACATTGATTGCAGCCAGGGATTCGTTTTGGGGTTGAACATCAAACAGCGGGAGCTGGGTCAGAGAGAGGTCTGTTCACGATCCCGAAGAAGAGAAACAACGACAACGCCCAGAAACAAGCAAACAGAGTAGGATGGTTTGCATATACGGGACACAGCATCTCATTGCATAGCCGACATGTCTGATATTGTACATGGGCACAGTACAAGCTTATTTACTTTACAACCCTGCTCCCCTACCCTATCTTTATTATGTATGTACTTGTGTACGTGGTCTATTCATGATGACCCCGTTGTTCGAATACACGAGTTGACGAAAGGGGAGGTGATGGGGCGTCCACTCGCAACTCACGACAAACACAGCATGATGTGTCGGCGGCCCAACTGGCATAATGCAGCAGGAGCGAACGATACGATCAACGTCTGAGGATCACTCCTGTCGACAAGGAATGCCTGTCTTTGAGATGCCCGTTCATTCCCAGCAGCGATCCCGTTTTTCCACGACAGATGAAGAGGACTGCAGCATGGTTCCAATCAGCATCGCGAGTTGCCTGGTCTAATGTTCTGTTGTTCAGGAACGCTTCCAAGCCAGTCGTTGACAGCCTGATGGGTTGTTACTGGTACAGTACAGTAGCATGGGCGGCGCACTCGGGGAATACCCTGTATCGAGGCTGCACTGTAGACATGCACTGTATGCTGTACACATGGAGATATCCATGAGCTTGCCCAATCAATACAGTACATCGTAAAGTTGCAGCAGCATGACGGGAGCCATCTCTTCCGAAAGCCAGGGCTCCCGTTCGCCTGGTATTGGTACTAGTGCCGGTGCAGTGGACGATCTTTTCTTTCGTTTCTTTTTTCCTCGCTATGGCAGGTAGGTTCCAAGTCATTGGGACCATCGTTATCCTGGATCGGACAGTAGAATATCCGTACCTACCGCCATCTGGATTTTGTCTACTTTGGAAGTATTGACATTTCTTTGAAAGATACCTAGTCAAGACCACACCACCACGATAGTTGGAGGCGGAACTGGAGTTCCAGCCCTGGACTCGCTGTTTGTGACGTCTGTTGCATGCCCATCCTGGTTGGTGTGCGGTACCCCATCCCATCCCATCAATGCCGGACTCTCAGCTGTTCGCCTTATTGTGCTAAATAAAATTATAGCACTCCCTTAGTGGGTTGAACTTAATCAGAGGCCCTGTCCTGTCGGTCCTCAGCTCGCGTTTGCCGTGACATGAAACCCTTCATTTTGGACTTCCTCCACTGTCGCAGCTCGTCGATCCCTCGATCATTGCTCTCCCGCCGCATCGTGTCTCGAGTTTCTGCCAGCCCCCGTCCTGTGCTTCGATCCATGTCACGGTGCCTTTCGTGAGATCTGGTGCACAGAGCCAACTTGCTTGCGCGATCCAGTTCAAACGAAACCCTCGACGCAACTGTACTCGGCAAGGAAAAAGAAAGGAAAGGGAGGGAAAAAACAAAGACGGGGACGGGAACTATACCAAAACCACAAAGGGTACACTCAACTCGACCGTGATCTTTTGATTGACAGATCCCCAGGAGGGGCACTTGCTTCACTTAATCAGTGTTGGTTTTTATGCAACTCAACTCCATTGCCAGGCAATTAATTAATGAAATATTGGCTTTTGCCTCCAAACAAACAAACAAAAAGAAATCCAAATATTCTCTACCCGCCTGCATACATCCGTATGAACACTATGTTAAATTATCCCATTTTCTTTGTTTGAAACTTCCAACAAGATTCGGTGACTCGTCCAAATTGCGACAACCCATCTAAAGTTGACTTCACCTGCACTACTGTTTCCATTCTCTCATCCCATTGAATCTATTTCTGGCTCTTTTCTCTTAGATCAGGTCTGAGAGGTCTTGGCTATGCTTCATTCTTCTATTCTTCTATTCCTCTAATCCTCTAATCCCTGTTTTTTTGCCCTACTCTCTACTTTTAATATGGTCCCTCATGCGGTAGTCGCGCGAAATGGGCTGAATTGAACTGAATTGGAAGCGTTGGGTTGGGTTTTCTTGCGCGGTGGCCGCTATGCTGAGCTGAGTCTGAGTCTGCGCTCCATTTCCATTCCCGCTACTCTGCGCTACCGCTATTCACGCCCTCACCTAGGTCTGTCCCTTTGCCTCCCCTGTCGTTAGGTATGGATCCCTGTCTACCTTTAGGCTGGGAGTGTACTCTTTTTCTAGACCCCCCTCCCCAAAAAGGAATCCACTCTCACTTCCCCTTCACACGCCCGGAACTGCCTTGTCACGTCCCGCCATAGGGACCCGTCCTGGAAGTTGACATAAAGACTTGGTCCCTACCTGGCCCTCGATCATCGCATCGACTCTCTTGGTCTATTTTATCTATCACGTTCCCATTCACGTTCCCGTTTTTCGTTGTGTTGTATTCCTCCTGAGCTTCCTGGTCTCGGACGATTGATATCAACTTCTGTCTACCCTTGCCTGCCTACCTGCCTAATCACATCCTTCATCCTCTTTTTATAAACATCCATCTCTCTCCCGACAGCGCTGCTGACCTCTTTACGGTACCTGCATCTAGACCATTGGCCTGTGAACAGACCACCTCCTGATCCCTTCCTCGACTACATCAACCATCCCGCGCCTCTTGAGCCGCTGCGAAGTGTAGATTTGACTTCAACTTGACATTAACGAGAGTTTTTGTTCCGTTACATTTCCAAAGTCTTCACCGCCCGATCGACAGAGCCTTACTTTGTGGAGGGTACAAGGGAAAAATTTGACCTTTTTTATTTTTTTTGCCTAACCCCTGTGGCTGTACTTTTACCTTACAACCTTGCGCGTTTCGCCCCGGCACGTCACTGAGACTCCGATTCACTCGCAAAAGAATATCGTCGACAACGTATTACTGTCGCCGGTCGACCTCCTTCCTCCGTCCGCATCTCGTCGAATAGCGGTCTGAAAGATTTCGCGTCTAATCTCGGTGCGATCATACACGTCATTTGTTTGTACACAAACGCGGAAAGGTGAGTCGCATATTTGTCTACTACCTCGCCCTTGATCCTTGAGTGGATCTTGCATACAGGCAACATCATCCCTCGGAGACTGGTTAGACCGGCTGAAGGGTCCTGGCAGTCGCTCTGGATGATGTTGCTGGTACAGATACTCAGTGTCAAACATGTCGCTTTCCCTTACCATCAGAACCAAGTCACTGACCATGCATTTTCTAGTCATCATCAGCTTGACCGCCTTCTTGTCGTGACCCGTCACTTGTGAGCGCCCTCGCACATCCTTTCCCAAACGCGCCACGTCTTCAGCTGGCATTCCATACCCACATTGAAGATGAGCGGCATGCGATCACCAGCTCCTACGGAGGTTATGGACATCACCAACATGCTCAATAAGAAAGGTCAAATGCAACAACTTACATCCGGTCTCCTCGATCATCACCAATACCAACACTCCTTCGTTAAGCACGAACCCGGTATGGAGCGATCCGCTTCTCCTCACGGCTCCGAGCACTCGCAGTACTCCAACCCCCACAGCATCGCACGAGCCTACCCGTCGCCATCCACGATGCAAGCGCCGATGCACATCCCGAACCCTATGCCCACCGCCATGGGTCTCGCCGGCTACCCCGAGATGCCCAACATGGGCGGCATGCCTCACATGCACATGCAGCACATGCCTCAACAGCAGCACCAAGCTCCTCCCCCTCAGCAGCCCATTAAGGCCTACCCGTGCAGCACATGCGGAAAGGGATTCGCGCGACGCAGCGATCTCGCTCGTCATGGTAAGTAAATAAGGCAGAATTGTAAGAATAGCGCTAACATCACCTAGAACGCATCCACAGTGGTGTTCGACCTCACGTTTGCGACTGGCCTGGCTGTGGAAAGCAGTTCATTCAACGATCTGCTCTGACTGTTCATCAACGAGTCCACACAGGTGAGAAGCCTCACCATTGTGAGACTTGCGCCAAGGTTAGTACCATAAAATCCTCCTATCCCGTACTGTTACTAACCCAACCCAGCCCTTCAGTGACAGCAGCTCTCTGGCTCGTCACCGCAGGACACACTCTGGAAAGCGCCCCTACAAGTGCCCTTACGCCGATTGCCAGAAGACATTCACTCGCCGAACTACTCTCACCCGTCACCAGAACCACCACAGCGGCACAATTGAAGAGGCTGCCGCCGCGACCGCCGCCGCGCTGGCTGCGTCGAAGACTAAGGGAATGTCGCAAGCTCGATCTGACAGCGACCACATGTCCAACCACGGTTCTCCCATGACAACTCCTTCTCCCAGCCAGCGAACAATGTCCATGTCGCCAAGCGTTGATCTCTCGGGCGCGAACAGCATTCCCCGCCACCCTGGTGATTTCCAGTACCTACAGCAGACTGGATCCTTGCCCATGCACATGCGTGTTGGAAGCCCTACATCTACCTCGTCTGGTGGCTACAATATGATGCGACCTACATCGCACCCGACCAGCTATGGCCCTCCTCCTACTCTGGAGCCCAACTTGGATAATAGTCAGGGTACTCCCAGCAGCAATGGTGGCAGCCCTCACATGGCTAACGTTGGCTGGCAATCACCTTCGCACATGGCTTCGCCTTCGCAGAACAGCGCCAGCTATGTCTATCCCGATCCTGCGGATGCCTACCCTACCAACCCTGCCATGAACCAGATGTACTACGGTGCCGCTACGCATATGCGTCGACCTCAGAGCACTGAGCCTGGACTGGTACATATGGCTTAGTTGGACCATACGCCAGAATCTACTCCTGAGTAATGCTTTGAGGCTATCTTCGCGACCCAAAACGAGTTCATTGATACCCTGTATTATTGACATCGTGCCTGATGTGGGCACTCAGATTATGCCGGCGTTTTTGCCTTTTTGGAACGGATCCTCACACCACCGAAGCCTGCCGCAACTGACGCCAAATTGTGTGCTTGTCTTCATCTAATACTCCTCGCATACCCCACTACTACACCACACCGCTCTACGACTCCTACGCAGTTCGCTCCTAGATGGAGCATGTTTGTTATGGAATATTGATTTCTGCGTCGTTTTCTGCTTTTATTGATTCCCCTTTCCCGTGCGTTATGATGCCTTTTCATTTCCTTTGCTCAAGTATCAAATAGACTGGGGGTGGCACTCTTATGACGATGGACAGGACATTGTCTGCATGATGCAAACATAGGGAGGGAGTTACACCGGAATGATCATTAGCCGCTTTTCCATTTCTGACACCAGAGGCGAAAAGACAGCAGGCATGGGAAGCACAAGACGCTGGCCTGTTTGTGTAATTATTATCAACTACGTTAGACTTGGGATCGGGGCTGGGAGCCAACATATAGACTTGACTTTTTTGCGATGAACAAATTACATACCCATTTAAAAAACGACCTTCACGTTATGACCTACCTTCCAGTGATACGAAGATTTACAGAATTGCCAGTGACCGCCAGTAGTAGTCAACAACTCCCATTTAGAACTGATCGCTCCGATGAGTTGTCGAATCTTATTACTCTGTGCCATATGCCTAGGCAGGCCGCTCAACTGAGCCGCATGAGGAGAGAAGGGACATTGTGTTTCACTCCACAGCAAGATCGACTAATCGCCCCTTGTCTAAATCCATCCTGTCTCAGCCCTTCAGCCCATCGTGACGTCTATCTGCGAAGGGCAAAAAAGCCACCACTACCATAAACACACGGCTGAACGAGTCTAGACCGTTAATAAAGATCTCCGTCAAGCTAAAATATACGAAACCACGCCATTTTCTCAAACGGCACTTCAATGCAAATGTCACGCATCTTTAATCCCCGGTAGCTCGTTTTTCGGAGCGAGACCACCCCGCACGAAGCGATTTTCTGATTATTCATCGCAGACATATTCAATATTCAAGGACTGGCCTCGATGGGCGGGGAGCATGCTCGGCACTGCGAATCGTGCAGCATACTATGTTGCTTTCGCTTATTTTCACTATATCGAATGGCTTGACATAATGGATAGTGTATGGCTGGGCGTGCTCCGAGCCGCCCTGGTCCTAGGAAGATGAGAAATGATACCCCAGAAGACAGAAGAGAACAGCGAGGTGAAGGAGAAGCTGTATCCTTTAATATATCTCACAGCGCACGGGAATAGAAAGAGTCAGTTTGTTCCTTCGGATCTACAGTGGCTGCTACTTAGATCGTGAGGGTGCTCAGTGTGATTATACATTGGGTTATTGATAACATCACTCGTTCAACCTGTCTGCAAGCAAATCATTCTCTCTCTCTTGCTTCGTGTTTCGACAAGATGATTGTGAGCATCGTCGTGCACGGGGACATTCTCTGTCCGTGGTGTTTTCTACAGAAGAGAAGTCTCGAAGAAGCCATGGAACGCTACCAAGCGCTTCACCCTGAGGTGGAGTTCGACGTCGTTTGGAAACCATTCCTTCTCTATCCTACACTTCGAAAAGGTGTGTCACATTACTCTACAGATTTTAACCAACTAACATATACCCAAAGGTGACAAACGAGCTCTCTACGAAAAGATCATGTCCCCAGAGAAACTTCGACTCTTTACCTCCCGCCTTCAAACAGCTGGTTCTCGTTACGGCATCTCCTTCTCTGTCACTGGCACTACCGGATCCTCACAGCCCGCCCACCGTCTTGTAGCCCTAGCGTTGCAAGCTCATGGGACAAGTGCTCAATCTGCGGTCCTCGATGCTTTATTCCAAGGCCACTTTGAGCATGGAGAGGACATCACAAACGAGTCGTGGTTGATGTACGTTGGCAGGACAGAGGGGCAACTCGATGACACTGAAATGAGAGCGGCATTGCTGGGACCAGAGGCTGGTAAGGCACTGGAGCAAGAGGTCAGGAGTGCCGCAGTCGGAGGTGTAGAAGCTGTGCCATGTATCACGGTACAAAACAGATTTCGAGTTGGAGGATACCAAGATTCAGATATTTTTGAAGGATTGTTTGAAAAGGTCCGGCGAGAAAAAAGGTGAAGGCAAATGGCTTTGAAGGTTCGGTAGGCGAGGGCATATACCAGAGATAGAGTGCTTTGGGCTGTTGTACACGATGCAGAACAGACGACAAGATTTAATATTCAAACGATGTTTATTGATTCGATGCATTAATATGCCGCTGAAGTAATTTGCTGCTTCGCCGTCTATCCCTCTCCGTCCCTCTTATAATGCCTTATCTTTTTGATTTGGCCATAATGTAGTAGGTGCTCCCAACGCCGATAGGTAAAAAATAAAAATAAAAATAAAAATAAAAAAGAAAGAAAGAAAGAAAAAAGACACATCCCTCAAGTCTTGGACTCGTTCACCAAACGCCTCGAAATGGACATAAACTCAATATACGCAATTCTATCGGCGCATACCGCTGTAGTCCTGCATAAGATGCGCCATGTGAACGTTGGTAGCCTTTCCGATCCTGTTGCCCTTGCGCCTTTTCTGCACCTTAGGCTTGTTGGCCTGTCCCTCCTTGGCCTTGCGCGGGTCTTCGCTCGTAGGCTTCTGTCCAACGCTGGTGAGCTTGCGGTGCATTTCGTCGATAGGCGGTAGCTGAACACGCTGCCACATAGATTGAAACTCTGGCTGTACCCTATGGTGCAGAGAGGCATCGTTGGGCCATACGTATCGCGGGAGGTTGTCCTTCTTCGTGCGCACCACCAAGATCTTGTATTCGCGCTCCAGGGCTGAGATTGTATCCTCGCAGTCGGGCCAGCCGTCTTTGAGATCCTTGACTGACACGCCTGAAGCATCTGTCTTTGCTTGGAGATGGCCCAGAAGGGTTGTTGCGTTTTTGACTCCTGGAATGATAGGACGGTGGGCATAGCTGCCTGTCTTCCAAGTCTGTTCACTCAAGTTCGCATCGGGCTTCCAATCGACACGAGGATGACCTCGCAGTCCCTCAGCCAACTGTCGCTTATGCTCTTCGTCGTAACCTCTCAAGCTCAAATGATCGATAATTTCTGTAATGGTCTTTGAATCGCCCTTCTTCTTTAGGTATTCAACAGCAAAGGTCATTTGTGTCTTGACCTCAGCGCCGTAGCCCGTGAGTTGTGGTTGTGAGTAGGGGACCTCGGGGGCGGCATCTCGCTTTCGCTTGGTAGTAGGAGTATTAGGATCGGAAGCCGCTGAGGGAGAAGGTGATGGAGGAGCGAGAGAAGATGGAACAGCAAGGGACGATGCCTTGTTGGTCGATGGATTCGATATCTTTGTTGCGGCGGAGGAGAGGGTGCCTCTGAAGGCGTTCGCCTGCTTTTCAAGGTAGGAGGACATGATGGTCGCAGGATAAAAAAGAGTGGGATCTGCCTGTATGTAGATAGGTAGAGAAGAAGCAGGCGATTATTTGCAGTCGACTTCGCGCCAAGGAGAGACGGCGGAACAAGGGAATAAGGAAAATGGAAAGAAAGAGGTTCGAGGTCAGATTTGATTTAAGTTGGAGGATTGACGTTGTTCCGGAGGCTGCGAAGAGCGACCTAGTGAGGCTGATGTGCTGCTTGAGGTCAGTGCCCGTGCCCGCGTGGCGCTGTGCTGTGTTGAGGCAGGTACGTACCGTATTGGGGCAGCGGGAGCAACTCGCAATAGGTAGTACCCAGAGTACTGGTCTAAGTGAGTGAGTGAGTGTGTACGTGTAAGAGTTTAGTTTGATCTATTATTCTAATGGGGGCTACCAGATATTTAAAAAAGAATACTGATTAGGCTCAAGAAAGCACAAGTTATTAAGTTTGGTTATTAGACTATGACTCACTCAATACTTTCAATTATAATTATGATCAAACGCCTGATTCCATTTTTCAACAGAATTTATTTGTACTTGGGCTTACAATCTGGGCGTCTCAGCCACAGCCTGGAAGCTGTCTCGTGCAGGGCCGAGAGTTTATATTTTACACATGCCTTTTTATGAAGACAGAAGAAGGATCTGGATTCGCTATTGACTTTTTACGAGAATTGAAAGCTCGATGCTGGGCAATTGGCCGACTGGGAGCGAGAGGTAGAAGAGGAGCAAGTAGATGGTCATGGCCGTGTCGTCAATTAAAACAGTGATATATATTTACTTTAGATGTCGTCTCCTTTGTTGAAAACATGTCCCAATCCCATGCAACACCGTTCTCCATTTCATGATTGCACATAGTTATGCCTCAGTAAATGGGTTTCCGTCCCCGGGCTAGTATGCGATCCTTATCTTTTCGGTCGCAAGTCCCAGTAGTTCCCCAACAAAAAAAAAGCAAGGGACTTAAAAACCGGGACATATGAGTTCGGTTCAGGGGCAGAGCCCGCTCATTGTACTTGTCCATCCTTCCATCCAAGATGTCCAAGCCGGGATAAGCTAAGCTGCCTTTTTCGTCGTGGTTGAGCGCCCACCGTCTATCGCCGACCGGCCTCTTCTCTTCGTGCCAAAAGAAAACTCCCCAATGCAATTATTGGTCAATCACCCGTAGACCTGCATTGATGCCGTAATGAAAACACAAAAGAAGCTCCTTTTTTATATCCTCTATTCCTCATGCAATGCGATTGAGGCGAGGCGTTTATGCGGAGCCCTGAGCCTCGTTCTGCTTCTGGAGGTAGTTGTAGCCCATGTAGGCGGCGAACCCAACAGCGACAACGAGAGCGTAAGAGGTCAAGCTGGAGCCAGCGGGATCGGACTTGCCGCTGCCTTGGTTTGAGTTGGCGATCTGGCGCTTGGGGCCCTCCTCACCAGGCTTAAAGTGACACATGTTAGCTACCGATTTGGTATATTGGAGACTCGACTTTGTTACTTACCAGACGCTTGAGCTCACCAACGAGGAGACCGTCGAGGACCTCTCGGGCCTCGTCACTATGGCCAACATCCTCGAAAGCCTCGGTGGCATCCTGACCGGCGACATCGAGCATAACCTCCTCACCACCGCTATTTTATGTCAGTATGCCATGCGTATGACTGCGCAATGCAACAAGGCGCAAAAGTGGGGGAAAGAGACAACGTACGGGTGCTCGTCGAGGAACTTGGTACAGTCGTAGACCTTGTCGTGAACAACCATGTAGATGTCGCTGCTGGTGTTGTGCTCAGCAACATCCTGCATGGTGAACTCCTTTGTCGCGGACATGATTGCGGTGTTGGTTGTGGTTTGGCGGTCGTTGAGAGAAGGGAGTTAGAGTTGATCGAGGTCTTGTCGAGAGGTGTCGTCGCACGAACAGGTGGTAGGGTAGAAGCTGACGAGTGGAAGAGGAGAAGAAGAAGAAGAAGAAGAAGAAAGAAGAGAAGAAAGGAGGAAGAAAGTCACAGGTGAGAGACGGAACTTTAGTCTAGCATGGGAAGGCGGGCTAAATTAATTTAGGTCCCCTGTTCTAGGTGGCCTTCTGGAGATTTGGCGGCGGCCAGCTCTTGCGTTGAGGGGCAGAAGGGACAGGGATCCAGTTGGAGAGGCCAGAAAGTCTACTGTACTGGAATCACAGTTGAGATAACACATGGTCCACACGAATACTGTGTACTGGATACCTACTTGGCCGATTGGAGGCGTCTTGTCTTCTGTATTGTTTCTGTCTTCCTCGGAAGTGCATCGGAAACAGAGACCGATGAACGGCAGCCACATTCATAGGTTGGATTGTAGGTCATGTCTAGGTACTTTAGTACGGTTGTTCCAAATGTTTTCTAGGCAAGAGCACTCTGCATGATCACACCAATCCAAGCAGTATATAATGTATCTACCTTTCCTCAACAATGGCCACGTAGGTCTTTCAAAATGGAATTCTCAGTGCTCGTCCATCTTTTCTTACTCGACGGGAGTTCCTGGTACGATCCGGCCAGCTAACATCCGACCCCCATCCGCTTCAAGGCCCCATCAGTGGGAGGGTTTCTTGGCCAATCAAAGAGGTCAAAATTACCGTTATCCTACTGTGATTCGTCTGTTTTGCTAAACCCCAGCCTTACCAAGCTAAGTAACTGGTACGGCTGCCCGCTGTTGAGGCCCATGAAAGAGCCGCGGGGCTAGCGTTGACAGTGAGTGGTCAATTCACTTTCCTTTCGCATTGTTCGCTATCCATATCTTTTCACTGATTGCACATACGAATACGGCGCCATCTGTCCTTACCCCCGGGTCGGAACCACACCGTCATTTCCATTCATTGAAGGATGGAATATCCGTACTTGCATAAATGACAAAGAGACGTCGGATGTTTTATGATTCTTGATGGAAGTAAACGAATACTTACCTTCCTGTCTATCTATCTATCTAGCTACCTAGGTACCTAAGGAATGCTTCGGGGAAAACTTAAAGAAAGCACCGAACTCATGATCTGCGACTTCGGCAGATTAGGTTGTTCGCTGTGTTTTCCCTTTCCGAGCCCGATAACTCTGTATCCATACATACTGATAGACCATCTACATATCATCTTCCCCGCATCTCAAAACACTGCCCACGAACAATTTATCTTAGGCCATACCTAAAATACGGACCTATCCTCCGTCTACCGGGCGGGGTCGGTCATGTCATCAGTTCTAATTCCGACCCTGAGGTGACTTGGACTCTGATTCATACAGTACCTACTGTACCTACCTTAGTAGGTACCTACTCACAAGCCTCAGGGAGGAAATTGCCTCCTTAAGCCATTTCAAGCGAGAAAAAACATAGCCGGATAATATGCCGAGCTGCCCATGACCGATCCGAGGATCATGATGACTGACTGTAGTATTCCTCCCACACTGACATTCTGATTTACAAGTTGCCTTGTCACTCGTCATACCTGTACAGTAAGTAACCTCCCTACCAATACCAACATCAGTGACAGCACCCGGCACAGATACCGATTTCCGGGATCCCGAGGGAGAAATCTCACCCACTTTCCCTATTGTAGTTTATCACTTTATGTATCATGCAAGATAGTTAAATACGCCAGGAAAATGGGTTTCTTCCAAAACTTTCTGTGGAGTCATACCTATCAACTCTAAAGCTGAAGTCAAAAGTGATAATCTCGAACCGTCTTAGTAACACTGCGCCGCACAATCCCAAGGGCCTCTCTATACATATCTGCAGTTTGAGTCTTCCAAGGCCAACAACCTTGATCATACGGCTACTGTCTTAGTGGCATTACATGATCGGTCATGTATACCCGATACTGTCACTTAGAACGTCTTTACTCACTAGCATCAACATGACAAACACGGTTTGATAGCTGCAAATCGTGCATGAAGCTAGAAGCATTCTATGTGTTTCTACGTGACATGCCCAGGATTGGATGCTTAGCAGTTTATAGAGTAACACTAGGTATGTTTTGACCAATATCACTCAAAGGCCCTTTGATTATCTTTGATTATCGAGATAATCAACTACCGAGCCTGCGCACTATGGAGGCTCATGTACCTGGTTTAACCACCAAGACTAGGTAGGCCATGCCGTTCGAGCTAGACTATACATCAATCCTTCACTTCTACTCTACGCATCCCCCTGCCCAAGTCTATCTTTCAAATTCATGCGCTACTAAAAATCATGCTCTATCGCCTCGAGCTGCCGCCGCCAATATCCTGGCCTAGGCGGTAGCTTGTCACGCGGTCCCACTCGATCTTCTGTCTCGTTACAGGCAGTTGTCGTCGCAGACCCTTGAACGCGCCTTCACTGAGGCTCACGAAACCCTTGTTCAGCTCCTCCTGGTACTTCTTCTCTGTTGTCGAGATCTCTCTAACGATGCCCGCACCGTTGGCGGAGGAGATGGTGCTGGAGACAGGCTTATTGGTCAGGAGACGAACGTTTCCGTCCTCGTAGTAGTGAACATCAACCTTGAGAGAACCCTCGAGAGCTCCGGATGAGGGGTCCAGAATGTAGAGCGACCGCCAGCGTCCGTTCCTGTGATGCATTAGCTTCAGTTGCTATCAGTTGGCCTGATAGAGTTTACCAGAAGTTGTTAGGGCTGTATTTGTTGCCTACAATAACGATGGCAATCTTAGAGTCCGACTCAATGGGGTAGACGCCGTGCGCGGCGTTGGCAAAGTGCTCGTCGACGTAAGAGCCGAGGCTTTTGAGGATGGAGTTCCTACCATAGTATCAGTGTTGTGCATCAGATGTTCAAGTCGAGTCAACTTACACAAGATCCGCTTGAGCTCCCTCCAACACGTGGCTCTGAACAGCGCTAGCTTTCTGTTTACTTGTCAGGGACCTTTTTTTAATCCATACAACCGTAAGCAGCTTACCTGCGTGGTATGGTCGAAGGCAAAGCTGGAAGAGCTCTCAACATCGTAGTATCGACCGTCTCCGAGGGAGTTGTGAGAGCTAATAATGACCTATGGCGCCTTATCAGTCCTCGGACCTCTTGAATTGTCTGTATCTGCTTGTCACCCACTGGTTGGCTGCTGCCGGGCAGTTTCACCGTAACAAACTGCTCCTCGTTGTACTTCTCGAAGGCGGGTCCAAGGCTGTTAACGATATCAGGGTTGGAGTCGAGGGTCAGCGACTTGATATCTGAAGAGTCCGCGTCAGTATTATGCATGTCTATGCAGCGGTGTCTTGGTCAACGGATACCTGCGATAACGTCGGCAAGCTGTATATCCGTTAGCTGATGATGCTCCAGAGGAGCCAACGACCTAGAGACGTACCTCTCCCGGAGGAGCTCCCTCTACGAAGGAAGAAACGGTTTCGAGATCGGACATTTTGTAGAGAGATTGAATGCGCCGCGAACAAATAACAAGCGCAAGCGACGTGACGTGACGGGGTATGTATGGCGTCTGAGGCTCACAGCGTGGAGTTCTTGAGGTACTGCATGGGCCACAATCAAGGGGAGGCGGGGCTGTATAGGTAGCTTGGGTGGAGCAATGATGCTGGGTTGGGTCCATGGATGTTAGTGGGGTGCATATCTATAAGCACCTCAATACATCCCATCTCGAACATGGCACTTGGCGAGCAATTCTTGTTATAGACATTCGAAGTTTACTGCTATTCAATTCTAATCTTATTCTGTGACTGAGGCCACCTACGCAAGCACCAGACAAGCACCACTGGGGGCTCATAGTCTACACCATACCAGTATTCCAAACTTGGTTATGTTCGTTAAACAATTGTATTAATATGGAACCTAATCGAGTCTCTAATCTGTAGAGCTCTATTCATTTGCCATGACATATCTCATGCCTCATACCTCCACTTGCTAAGTATCTATTTCTACACTGACTCAGTAATCCAACAACCTCTTGATATTATCATAAATTCCTAAAGGGTTCAGTCAGCTTGGGTCATCTAGGGCATTCATTCTCTTTAGTCACTTACTCGCAACATCGGGAAGGTTAAACCTTTCGTATAGGAGGGGCTGGTGGATGCTCCATCCTGCAACTCGTGCAACAGGTGCCTCCAATCTCAAGAAAGTGTCGTGGTCCTCTTGAATAGTAGCGGCAACTTCAGCACCAATACCTGCGTTTACCATAGCCTCGTGGACAACCATAACTCGGCCTGTCTTACGGACACTCTGGAGAACAGTCTGCTTATCCCATGGGTATAAAGTTCGCAGATCGATCAACTCAATGGAAATACCTAGGTCCTGCTCTGCCTGCTTGATAGCGTTGTAGCAAAGGTACAGAGGTTGGCCATAGGAAACAATGGTGACATCCTTGCCCTCCTTCAGAATTTCGGCTTTTGATAACGGGAGTTCGTATGATCCAGTGGGTACTTGTTCGACAGCCGCGCGGTATAGGATCTTGGGTTCCATGAAAACACAGGGGTCGTTGCTACGGATAGCTGCCAAGAGAAGACCTTTGGCTTGGGCAGGTGACCTTGGCATTATAACTTTCAGTCCGGGAATATGTGTAAACAAACTCTCGGGAGATTGTGAATGGTAGAGAGCACCATGACCGACACCACCGCAGGGCATTCGAACAGTTAAGCCACCAACACTGCGGCCGCAGGATCCATCGCGATACCTGAACTTGGCTGCCTCGTTAACCAATTGGTCAAATGCTGGGTAGACATAGTCGGCAAACTGGATTTCGGCAATAGGCCGCATTCCCTCAGCAGCAAGACCAATACCGAAACCCATAATGCCTTGCTCTGTGAGAGGAGTGTTGAATACTCTCTCGGCACCATGGGTTTCAGCCAAGTTCATAGTACATCTGAAGACACCACCAAATGCGACATCCTCTCCGAAAATGACGACGGATTCGTCCTCGGCAAGAGAGATACCCATAGCATCGTTTATGGCTTGGAATAGGTTCATCTTCTTTGTCGGACCATTACGAATATTCTCAGGAAGCTCCTTGTGACTTAGAGCTGTCTGAGAGCTATGCGCGAGGAGGGGCGTCGTGCCGTAGTCGACGGGCAGGTTTAGCCTGGCATTGGGGGGATGCGTCGAGTAACTTCGTCGTCCTACAGGCAAGGCAAGTGAGAGCCGAGCAGTCGACCGAGAGTTGACGACGTGCGCTCTCTTGAATTGGTGGATAACACAGTGCTTCATGGTGATAGTTGGGCAATGTCAATGTTCACAGGTTGGAGTCAATGGCAAAAGGTGGACGACAATAAATTCAATTCGAACGGCATAACACTGCAGTGGCAGCCGGAAATGCAACAGGCCGTTCGTTATACCTTAGATATCCAAAGCCAACCGAAGGGGGCTTATTGATTGTGTTCCTCGGCGAAGGTGATGTCAAACTCGGCTTGCTGCGGGTTCCCCGGGAGCTGGCGGCTTTTATCGCATGCTAATGCCGTACTGTTAGGTACTGCCTACTGTAGACACGACTGATAAGATAAGAGATTGTTGTCCTGTCAACGGCACGCTAAACAAACAGGTTCCAGGTATGGCGTCACTTGGCAAGGTATCTCTCGACTAAAAGCAGTGATCTTCGCTAAAATCTCATTCCTGTAGAGGTTGCATACCAGCCACACCGTTACAGGTCTCAAAATGCCTGCGCGAGACTCATCGCGGCCCCCCCGCTCACACCGACCTAGGGAACGAGACAGAGACAGAGAAGGAGATCGGGATAGAAGCCGACGACGAGATGACCAACGAAAGAGGAAATCAGGATCGCGACGACCAGCTTCCGGGTCTGAGGACACTCGGGATAGAAGTTCGAGGACATTATCATCACACGCTTTAGCAGACCTCGAAAGAGAGAATGCGCGTCAAAAGAAACGAAGTGAACGCGCAAGTCGAGACTATAGAGACGAGTCCCGAAGACCAGAACGACGACGTGATGAACACCGAAGAAGAGATCGAGATCCCGAGAAGCCGCGAACTCATGGCAGGAGCAAGAAGAAGAGAGTTGTGAGCGGAGCCGTTATGGAAGAGGGACAATCGAGGGCGCATCTAAGAGGCGGTGGGGGAAGCGTCGATACTATTGACAAGGAGAAGGACTTCTACCTATCAAAACCACCAAAGAAGAGCAAGAAGAAGCTTTGTAAGTTACCTTGGTGATCCAGCTACTGAGTTTGTACTAATCTGTAACGTTAGGGATTGCACTTGGTGTGAGCGCTGTCGTCCTGCTTATCATCATTGTGGTAGCAGTTGTTGTCAGTAAGAAGAAAGGCGGTGGAGGAGGCGGTGACAGCAGCGATAGCTCAGACGATACAACCGAGGATACTTCAGATTTGGATGGGATGGACCGGTCGAAAATACCCGAGAAGTGGCGGAACACATATCTCGACCCCTGGACATGGAAATCAACAACCGACTTCAACCTCACATTCACAGACGAAATGGTTGGAAACCTGCCGATCATGGGTCTCTATGATGATTGGGACGACTCAGCTCAAGCCAACGAGAATGTGCCTCCGCTGAACAAGCCTTGGGGCTCTTATGGCAAAAAGCCTGCTCGTGGTGTGTGCATTGGTGGATGGCTTTATCTGGAACCTTTCATCTCACCATCTCTTTTCAATTACGACACGAAGGAGGGCATCATCGATGAGTGGACACTGTCCGAGAAACTAGGCTCTGAAGCAGGAAAGACACTGGAGAAACACTACGCATCGTTCATCACAGAGCAAACCTTTAAGGACATACAAGCAGCAGGTCTGGATCACGTCCGTATTGGTTTCAACTACTGGGCCGTCGAGGTCTATGATGGCGATCCTTACGTGTACCGAACATCCTGGCGATACCTTCTGCGTGCCATCGAGTGGTGCCGCAAGTACGGGTTACGAGTCAACCTGGACCTACACGGTATTCCTGGCAGTCAAAACGGATGGAACCACAGTGGCCGATGGGGTTCTATAGGGTGGTTGGACGGAAAAGATGGCAGCGAGAATGCAAAGCGAGCGCTCGAGATTCACGAACGACTGTCCAAGTTCTTCGCCCAACCCCGCTACAAGAACATAATTACTCACTACGGTCTCGCCAATGAACCCCGAATGACGAGTCTGAAAACAAGCGACGTGGTCCAGTGGACAGAAGATGCATATAAGATTGTGCGCAAGAACGGCGTTAAAGCACTTGTGGTCTTTGGAGATGGATTTATGGGACTCGAAAACTGGCAGGGCTTGATGACTGGCTACGATGATATGGTCCTAGATGTCCATCAGTATGTCATCTTTAACGAGAACCAGATCGACTTCACACACAAGAAGAAGGTTGAGTATGCCTGCAAAGGCTGGACTGAGCAGGCCGAGATCAGCATGGATCGTTCCACGGGATACGGTCCTACCATCTTTGCCGAGTGGTCTCAAGCCGACACAGACTGCGCAAAGTTCCTTACTGGAGTTGGCTGGGGTACTCGCTGGGAGGGTACATACGATACAGGAAACAAGGACTCGTCCATTTTGGAACCTCGATGTCCTACCAAGGACGACAAATGTTCCTGCCGCGGCGCCAATGCTGATCCTAGCGACTGGAGTGACGAGTATAAGAAGTTCCTCAAGATGTTTGCCGAAGCGCAAATGCATAGTTTCGAGAAGGGCTGGGGATGGTGGTACTGGACCTGGAAAACGGAGAATAACCATCAATGGAGTTACGAGGCGGGTCTTAAGGCTGGCGTACTGCCCGAGAAGCCCTGGGATCGTGATTTCAACTGCGACAAAGACGTTCCCGACTTTGAGAAGATGGGCTTGCCAGAGTATCTTTAGACAAAGGGGTTTTATCATGGGTACACGGTGAGGATTATGGGTATATGGTTGCGATTGTTTTTGGCGTTGACGATTCTTTGGGATTGATATATAGAGCAAGCATGTTCAGCCAGTAAACAGAGGCTTTGATGAAGCGACTGATTGAACGTATTTATGGTCGAGGTACAGTAAGTACATTGTTATATGGTAGATAGATAGATAATATGAATCAAGGAAACGAGTTTCCACGATGTGCGATGCCTAACATGCCTCAGTGAGGAACATGCACCTCATAGAAGCGAACACCCAAGTCACATATACAGCAATTACAGCATGTCTCATTTCTCATGAGCCGACCGACAACCGCCGATTGGGTGTTGGGAATAGCACGGATCTATGATGTGACCTGTTTTATGATTCGGTGAATAGTCGAGATAGCTCTGTCGATATATCCTGATGAGGCAAGACTTAGCTAAGATATAAGCCACTCATAGACAAGGACGACGTTGGGAACTGCACTCCTACTGATAGTTCTTTAAAGGGGATGCTGGGAAGTAGAAGCTGTATCACATCCAACATTGTTGTCCAGCTGATGATTCTGGAGGATAAGAGGATATACGTCTTTTGTTATATTTATATGTCATCTCAATGGGAGAAAACTGAAGCAGACTACCTGGACCCCGATCTAAGCAATACTGTATACAGGTAATCGCCGTTATCAAAACACTATGAACAAGGAGCGTACAAGGGTCACGACGTATGTTATCGATGCAGCGTACAACGAAAGTATCTACTAGGACAGCACATCACGTCTGAAGTCATTCATGTAATCATCCAGGGTACACATATTTTGCTTTATTTATCCTGCATGTGTTGGCGAAGAATGTAACTGCAGGTACTATGAGATTAGATGGTAATGGTCCATGTCAAGTTAAATGTGTCAGAACCAAAATCCAAATCACGAACACTCTCAGTCGTAGTTCACAGAATCACGGCCATTTTCTTTGTTGGTCTGCGTCTCTCATACCAGTGTCGATATGTATACTCTTCTCCAATAGGCTTTGGTGTGAAGGGGGAAGTTTTGTATTGTTTTTGTCGAAATGGGGGAAATATAGGTCGAAAACCAACCACACACGTAGCATCATCATCATGATCATCATCGTCAGAATCACCATCAGAATCACCATCAGAATCACCATCAGCGTCACCAACAGCGAGTCACTTTTCAAGCGAGGTACTCAAGCAGACACTTGCAGGACGAGGTAGTAAGCCTGGGCTCCGGCTCCCCTTCGGTAGTCCTGAACTTCAGCGGAGAGAACCTTGACCTTGTTCTGCTCAGCAAGGCTCTTCACGTGGCTCTCGTAGCCTCCGGTCTGCCAGATCTCACGGATGACAGTAGCCACGATGTAGCCTCCGGGCTTCACGACACGCACGAACTCACTGATAGCCTCGGGACCAACGTGAGACTGAGTCAGGGTGCCGACACACGTCACGACATCATAAGAGTCATTCTTTGCGGGCAAGGGGCGAGACAAGTCGCAAACATCCAGGTTGCGGTATGCTCCTGTAGTGCGAGCTTCATCAAGCATGCCGGGGCTCAGGTCGACACCGTCAAGCTTCTTCGAGCCCAAACGAGCAAGGAAGACGCCGACGAGACCAGTTCCACAACCAGCGTCAAGGATCTCGACATCTGGGTTGATGGTGGGAGTTCCTAGGGCTTGAGGGACGTAGGCAGCGGCAATGGCAGGACCGACATAGTCTTGGCCCTTGCCTGTGATCTCCTCGTTGTATGTCTTTGCCCACTCATCGTAGACGGAGCGAGCATGATCAACAGAGGTGAGGGAGTAGATCTTGGGGAAGTATTGGGCAGTGGCCTGGGAAGACATGATGTTGAATGAGGAAAGGGGATATTTTAAGGTAGAGAGGGAGGGATTGTTTGTGTTGAAACCAAAGTAGAGTAGTCTAAAGGGTTGAAATGGGATGGGTTGAAGAGTTGTAGTCTCAACAACTTTGAGGAGAAGATATGCCCCTTTTATAAACAAAACTAGATCGTTCAAAACCCCGCGTCTCGTCTTTGTTTCCCCTCGTCTCTCCCCGCGTCCAAGATATCCCGAGATGACGTTTGGGCGTGCTTCTGAATGAGAAACAATTGGCGGTTGCGACCCGGCGTAGCCCAAAGTAGTGATCCGAGGTAGTAGATTGGACTAAATAAAGTCAGTAATGGTCTGTACTGTGCTGTAGAATTTACCTGGATCTAGTAGGGATGTAGTAGCAATACTGATAATAATAGGTTTTCGTCAGAGAAAACGGGGGTTGTCAAAAAGAAACCATCATGTTTATGGTGGTTGTAGTGGTGTTGAATGCAAAGGTAACGCAACGCAACGCAACGTTGACGGTTATGATCAGCCGAGAACTCTTGGCCAACTGGGTCAATTGACGGCAATACTGCTGAATTGAGTGGTACTGTGAGTGCTTTTTATCCTCGGAAAGCATATCTGTCAATTGCGGCGACTTTCTCTGCTAAGTACTGGTGATATTCTTTACACCACCAAGACGATAAACTTGTGCATGATCGCAACAACTCAATTTACCGAAAGATAGGTCGATTATCACAAGGAAATAAACACTGACTTTGGGAGAATCCAATAGGACTCAATCCAGGTCACCCAGTTGAGCCTCTAGTTGGTGGCGGGCGCATCATGAGTGCGTCCGTTGCGAGAATTATTTTATGCAGTTGCAGGGCTGCAGAACTTTTGCCCTGTTCTCGTTCTACAGGGCAGTGCAGCTGCAGGATTTTGTCTCTTGGGGGCGCGTCTCTGAGTTGCAACTCATTTTCATGGTAGAAGATAGGTTGTTAGAACTATCATGTGTTTTTGGAGCTCATGGCTGTCTTGATACCTTTGGACTATCTCATGCGACGCAGCACCCTCTCTCATGACTCTTTAATTGCATCTGTTCTCGTTAACTACGACTACTGCACGAAGGGACCGGCTTACCCTGCAGTCCCAACAAACCACTTCTGGTACAGGGAAACATGTTTATCGTCCTGCTGACCGAGCTGTGACTGATGGGTTGTTGTACAAGTTACGACCCTCCACCACCAGCGCCCGCAATCCTACACTACAGATGGAACTGAATGACGCCATTCACGCATGTCGTCTTAGCTGTCCTATCAAATCTGTTGGAAGATGCCAAGTACAGTAGTTACCAATTGGTCAAGACTCAAGTGCGAGCTCTGCACCATGATACGAGAGAGTTTCCTTACGCTGATTCGCCGACTGGAATTAACAACATCTTGTTTATTTGAGGAGTCACAGACTGAAGTTGACAGGCATGTGAAGAATAACCGGGACTTGCAGGGTAGTAAAGAGTGTCTTATTCGATATCATGAGGATGACCAATGTTAGCGCGATACATAATCATGCAACCCCAGCAAGTAAATATTACCGAGATACAAGTGCAACCAGGGCATTTGTTCTTGTACAGACTACTTTACTGTCAATTATCTCTCAAGTCCTGGAGTGCGGGGAAATAACAATTATTGTCTTCTCGTTCTGTTGCCTCTTTGCGCTTCCTGTGTTCCCATCCAAGTCTTGTCTATCAGACTAGGTACCAAGGCAGGGACAAAAACAAACAGACAGACAAAAAGAAGAAAAGGCCGACAGTCGGGTTTATTGTTCATTCCCAACAAGAAATCCGGGTCAATATCAATAAAAGTCCGATTCTTGTACAGTAGCCAGCGCCACTCAGCAAGATACAAATCATGCTAGCTTTCTGAAGAAGTGATTGTCGTGAAAACCTAAGAATGAAGCTTATATAACACCCTCAAATCCATCACTATAGGATTCGTAAATACGCTATACGGCGTTGGCTTCTCTTCCATAAGCAAGCCACAGCGGCCGCTTTCGCGTTGTTGATTGGATTCGTGAGAAACGTTTCCAGGTTTTGTTGGTCAGCAATGACAAAATGGGTTGAGTTTTGAGGTCCTGTACGTGATGTCTTCTGAGCGAGTGCCGTCTTTGTAGTGGTGAAGAATTGAAGAAGTTGGTTGCAACGTATCATGCGGAACTCGTTTGAGACGAATATATAAAGACTACGAGGATCGCAATGGTTGGGAAGATTGCTCTTGGCACGATATTCAATATCAGCCTATCTTTACCCTGGATATATCACTTGTTTGCGTCGATAATATCTCGAAACACCATTGATGATAATGGATCGTGACGTTGAAAAGATATCAACAGACGAAGGAACTCTTAGCCCAGGGTCCAACGAAACAACCTTTTCACCCATTCGATTAGAAACACCACAAGTCACACGAACTCGCTCAAGAGCAACTAGCAACCTTTCTCGCTGCCAATCTCAAAATGGCTACAGCTGCAATCCTCACCAAGAGTCGGACGATGATAATCAGCTGGAAAAGGATCCCTTTGAAGTCGGTTGGGAAAACGGCGACAGTGATCCCTGGTGCCCGCGCAAGTTTGTCCAGGTGAAGAAGTGGATGATTGTTTTTATTGTTTCGTCTGCAAGTCTATGCGTGTAAGTACTATACTGTAGTCAGTGTGTATCTACTAAGTTACTGGTTAACTAAACTAAAGCGACAACCAGAACTGCCGCAAGTTCCATCTATACATCCACGTATGAGCAAATGGAAGTCGAGTTTGGCAACTCGCGAGAGATATCGATCCTTGGTCTGTCCACCTTTGTCCTAGGAATTGGCCTTGGACCCATGTTTCTCGGTCCCATGAGTGAATTCTATGGTCGAAGGCCCATTTACATTGTCTCTTGGTCTATGTACTTTATCTGTATCATTCCTCAGGCTGTGGCTCAGAACATCGAGACCATCATCGTCAGCCGTTTCCTCGATGGATTCTCAGGCAGCGCATTTCTCGCTGTTTCTGGTGGCACTGTTGGAGACCTCTTCACGGCTGACCAGATCCAGGCGCCAATGTTGATGTTCTCGATGGCACCCTTTGTCGGTCCCTCTATCGGACCTCTTATTGGAGGTTTCATCAATCATAATGCTGACTGGAGATGGACACATTGGACACTCCTGATATGGGCTGGTGTTTTGTGGATGGCAATCTTCATCTTGGTCCCTGAGACATATCGTAAGTTTTGACTTGACCAACATAGTGGCTGGTATCAACTGACATGGACTAGATCCCATTGTACTCAGGAACAAAGCAAGGCAAATTCGAAAGAAAACAGGCGACGAGAGATGGAAAGCTCGTACAGAAAAGACTCAAAAGTCAGCCATTGGCGCGATCGGATGATCTCTCCTACGCCCCTTTCAGCTTCTTATCTTCGAACCCATGTGTCTTAACCTGTGCATCTTCACAGCTATACTGCTTGGTATACTCTATCTATTCTTCGGAGCCTTTCCTCTTGTCTTTGGTAGACTCTACGGTTTCAACCTTTGGCAAGTCGGACTCTCCTTTCTCGGCATTCTCGTGGGCATGATAGCAGCAGCAGGACTCGACCCCGTGTGGCACCGCATCAGAAGTAGCCTTATACTCAAGCTAAGCTCAGAAACAGACATTCAGGGGATCAGCCAGCCCGAATTCAGACTCCCACCAGCGATCGTGGGGTCACTCATCGTACCTGTTGGCATCTTCATCTTCGGCTGGTCATGTTATCCGTGGGTGCACTGGATTGTACCCATTATTGGATCAGCCATCTTTGGAGCCGGGTAAGTCAAGTGATATCATCGTCATAAACAATTGGAAGGCCTCAAAGAGGCGCGATACGGGGAGAACCAGGGTTTGTGCTGTCATACCCAAGAGGCTTCTCTCAGTCGTGCAAGTGTCTTGAACACTGTGACTGAGACAGGAACCGAACTCGCGGGATCGCGCCCGCACATAGAGAAGCCAGACAAAAGCCATGTTGATCTTTGTCATCGCTTGGTAATGCCTCTTGAATCTCGTATCCCCTGAACTTGTGCCTCGAAGAGCTGCAGCTGACCGTTTGATCCTTATATAGAATCCTTCTTGTGTTTAGCGGAGTCTTTACATTTCTTGTAAGTTGCATCCTCTTCTTTCCCTGGTTGTATAGAGCCTGTGACAGACTCACCGTACGTTTCACTGCTCTTTGCATGGGTTGGTATATCAACTAGTGTCATGACAAGACAGGACAGGACTATGTTGTGCTTGTGCCATATTCGAGTAATGCTGACCCTGGACAAAATAGGTTGATGCGTATCCGCAGTACGCTGCGAGTGCCTTGGCTGCGAATGCCTTTGTGCGTTGTGCCTTTGCTGGTAAGTAGCTGGCATACTACTCTCCCTTCTCATTCCGTGCTGTTAGTTACTGTAGCAGACTATCTCTACAGGTGATTGCATGATATGGCTTGGATTTCAGGGCTGATTTCATGTTTTACAGCTGCCTTTCCGCTATTTGGCAACCAGATGTATAAGAAACTCAACAATCACTGGGCATCGACCCTATTGGCATTTCTAACGGTCTTCATGATGCCCTTCCCCTATCTTTTCTTCCGTTACGGTAAGAGGATCAGGGCCAGTAGTCGATTTGCCACTTCCTGAGAACAATGTGACTTTGATGATTGTGTCTGCAGCTTCGAGTGATGGCTTCATCCGTGTTCCCGCACCAATGGATAGCCACTGAGAGACCATATATACAGAATACAGAAATGGAAAGAATTTACAGGATCAACTTACACAGAAAGGTGTTTCTAGTCATTGAAAGGCGTTGATAGCAGATAAATGAGTGGCTTACTTGTTGATCACCGGTTGTACAGGAAACGCCAGTCTACGGTAGCCCTTATACATGGGTCTTGAAGGATCAAGCGTTATGTTTTTCTGAGTAAATTCTTAATGCAGAGAACTGTATGAAACTAATATGAGTTCTACGCTGGTAGAGATTCATGAGGAAAGGGAAATTTCGTATACTGGATAAGTTGATTGGGAACACCAGGCAAAGGCTCAGGGTGCCCTGCCGCTCAACTCTCCTAACCTAATAAAACCAAGATTCAGTTTAGTCTATGGGGTAGCAAGACCGATTTGCAAAGATCAACTCTACTCTAGTCTACCTACGCAGGGGCAAGTGTGGAGATAAGAGTAGTGGCACGTAGAAGAGTATTGATAACCAGACAGCTACAGTATCCTATAGCCAAATATAACAGGATGAGCTGATCACGTCCAATTGCTTAGCGATCAACTTCCTGAATAGGTCAGATCAACGCATCATACGTTTAAAACCTGACAGACTGCTGGCAAGGCCATGCTTGTCACAGTCTTAGATGTTTCTTTCAGCTGATAGCTTTAACACTGAACTTCGTCTACTGAGGCGCACGATGAACCAACCACAAGTTTGGTGTGAAGAACATATTCAAGACGGACAAGGGTGTCTCAGCCTCTTCAGGTTTTACAGAACAGGAACATACGAATGCAGGCCCCCATGATTCCTCGGCTATCGCAGCCTCGACTCCAGATTTTCGGCCAGCGGCATGGATCATGACATGTCCTCCAACCAGATGACACAGCGCATGCTTCTACCCGCTGAAGAAAGCAATAGCGGCCCAGCAGGAGAGGAAGGGATTTTCTAGGGGCTTTGGGTTTGGGTTTGGCTGTCATTGTCGTGCAGGTTGCAGCCGCAAAAGCAAAGAAAGAGGAGCAATATCCGTCCTAGAACTGGGATCTGCCGAGCAAGACAAATTAATGTGATGGCGGCCAACTGAATCACTTGGAATTGATATTGATCATCTGTCCACGCGGTTACTTACTGCTTGCTACAGGTCAAATGTTGCGATTCTATAAACATATCTTGGCATGATGCGAGATAGGATAGATTGCTCGGTCACCGAGGTGAAGCGTCGGTTAACGATCCCCGGGTATCTGGGATCCAATAAAGTACCCTGGATACCAAGTCCTACTGTAAAACATCAGACAGGCTAACAGGATTGAGAATATCTCGGCGGCCTTCCGTTTCCGCCTCCGCCTACCTTGGTAATTAACCCCACCTTTGACCTCCGGCATCCGGACTCGGCATAGGCCCGCGCTCCGGACGACCGACCGGGTACTTGAAAATGTTGGTGAAAGTTGAAGAAGATCTCTTAAAGTTACTGGAGTGGGCAATCGATTCAAGTTCAGCTGTTGATGCACAAAAGTATCATGCTAAAGACCTCTTACTGTTTCGGGTACCTTGCGCACATCGGCGGTCCCACACCGGCCTGTCGGTGACAGTCGCCGGGGCAGGGGTGCTTCGGTACCTCTCCAGCTCTCTTTAGCTGACTACTATATGTATGTATCAGTAAAACATCAACCGTCTCTCTGCTTCAGGGAAGGGCAAAGATTGTCTGGCAGCCCGAGACCCTTGTCACTGAAGAGGTACTATGTACGAATATCACTCTGACCAACACTGAAGATTTAGGATCTCCTTGTCCGCCTAAGCTAACTACATGTAAGGGTGGCTGAGAACACAACAATGAATGGATCAATGGATCAATGGAACGTTTTTGGCGGCTCAGCGGGACCTTGTTAGATGGAGCTGGATCGAGACTATTGCTTGTAGGGGCATAGCAAGTCCAAGGAGAATTACATATTCAGCTCCATTCTTTCTGACCGCTACAACGAGTATTGAGTCAGGATAACTAACTAATGAACCCCAACCTCATACAAGGAAGGGAGGGGGGGAAAAAAGATGAAAAATTCCATCTAATTTTGCGATGGACTTTCAAGTTACAAATAAGAAGCCATCGTCGGACCAATGGACAGCCTGGGATTTCCCCCCAGTCACTCCACTGTTTTACAGTAGTAGAACCCCGCAATCAAAAGTTTGACTTTGATTGGGCTCTTTATTTTGGTGACTTGATTAGGGACATGGACTCCCTAATCCTCGGCTTGTCGAGGCATAAACATCAAGGTACCTACATAGTACCTCTTACATTGCATTACAGTATATGGAAGTATCAGCCATGAATCCAATATTAGTCTATCAAATCCACTTGAACTGAACGAACGTAGGATATGTAAAATCTTTCATGATGATCAGTCTGTTGGGCGCATTGTTGTATGTAATAGTCCCCAAACTCAGTCAATTGACCACCGTTGATACCCTTGTCATGTAAGGTTGTATTGATTAGAATGTTTACTTGGAAATTGGGCAGACAATTACCCACCCTGTGTGAGGTTACGTGAAAGAGAGGACCTACCTTACATATCCATAGTTACGGTTATTGATTCATCCGCAAGGTCTCAGCTCACGAGATTGTAGCTATCCGTATCCGTAGACTGTCTACATTTGCACATGCATACTATGGCACGTACCTAGGTACATCTATCTGCCTTGGCTATCCTATACTGAGGAGTACAGGGTGCTAGAGGGAAATGGAACCTAGGTAAGATTTGACCATCTTCTGCAGGTATCTTGATAGGCACATTTGCAAACAAACATCCATTCTTTTCTAACTTACCATGTACCTATTCCCTGATCCAATCCACTTGGTTGCTTGCACCTGCACTACATGCTTGATTCCATATCAGGTACTTTTTCCCCTAGCATTGAAGTGTATCGAGTTCAGTTTCTACAGCATACATATATTACATAGTAGTAGATACCTATTGTACATATCCAGGTTGCATCAATTTCGTCCAGTACCTTAAAGCCTTTATGTGTGTTTGGTCGTTGAGCTGTTCTAGTGGCGCATCCATCAATTTTCACCAACCACCAAAAACCCCACAATTCTATTACTGGGGGCCAACCCGCTGTCGCCTGACCTGAGAGCTGTGCTGCCCTGTGCTATGTTGCAACAGTGACTGACTGGGTTCCATGGGTAGGTTCTCTCTATGGATTCTTACCTACTGATCTCGAATTGGACCAGTCATTGCTTATGACTTAGTCTGCGAATTGCCTCGTTCGACTTTACCCAATTCAATTATATCCTTTCTCTTCATCTTTACACTATCGCGATTCCATCTCTCTGTGCCGCGCTTCGCTTCGCATTCGTCTTGCCTACCTACCTACCTACTTCGCATGCCGCATCTTTGCACGACGCTACGTCTACCTCTGACTACACTTTCACCACAGCCTGCTTCTACTTCGACAGTCGCCGACGTTGTGTGAGCTGCTACCGTCACTGTAGTGCGCGTTGCTTCTCAGATTGGCTACTCCAGCTCTACTACTGGGTGCAGCCACTCCTCATGGCCCGCGGGTAGCTGCATCCATTTCTTTTCTCTTCGTCATCATCCGCTTCCTCACCCTGCAGTATCATACCTGTAGCTGTCGCTCTCTCCTCTCCCGTGTCGCCTCAGTCGCCCCTACGACTGTTCCATGTTGAACGATCATCGATCCTATATCGACCCTCGAATCGTATTTCTGCCTCGGTCACATCCTCCGCCTCCGCCGGTGACGACCAGCAATACTCGCAGCCTCACGACCTCCTACAACTCACGGTACTATTAATTGCTTATACGTTGCACGAGAACGCCTCTTTGCGTATCATATCTAAGCAGATTATTGGCTTTATTCGAATACGCCCCATACAGTATACGAGCTTGACCGATCACTGTCGGTCCCCTCATTAGCTAAGACTTGATACTCCAGACACGGCTGCATACAGCCCTCTGGCCTCGTTTGCGCCCAACGCCATAGTCCTACCGCATCCATACCGTACATCCAAGACTGTTCCTAATCTTACATACGCCATCTTCGCAGTACGCATCGGCGAACGGGTAAAGAGATCAGGAGAAGGGTTCTGTTGCGCGTTCCCGCGCCACCGTGGGGGTTATTGTCTGCGAATAATACATATCGCGGATTTCATTCGACGACGTACCTGTCCCTGCTTGCTTGTACTACTGAGTCTTGGATAAGTGTGGTTCCGCAAAGGTGCCTGAGAGGAGGACAAGGAGACAGAAACAGAAAAAGGTTTCTGGGATTCGGAACCTGCATTTCCGGACTGTTTTGTGCGCGCCAACCTAAACAAAGTCTCGGGCTCGACCAAGCTGAGAGGAGGATACTGCAGCCGTCCCATTACCTTGCGTCGGTCTCCAGGCGTTGTATATAAAACCTAAGACACCATGCCGCACGAGATGGAGGAGAATGGTGCTGAGGTCTCAGATGTTATGTCTGAGAACGAGGACGAGACGGAAACTTTTATTAAAGACGACGACGAAAAGATGGCAGACCAGGGCACTACCGAGGTCAAGAAGAAGTACGACCCTAAGGATCCCCTACGCCCGAGAAGGAAGAAGGCTCGGAGAGCGTGCTTTGCTTGTCAGAGAGCTCACTTGACTTGTGGTAAGTCTCCTTTGCAGAGGCCATGCTAGCGGTCTGCTGGCATGCGCCAGTGATTATCACGCGACATCTTGTTTCTCAGTGTGAAGCTCGGCCCTTGACTCACTTTACTGGTTGCCAGCATTTTGCTGGCGAACTGTTTGTGCACCTCCCAAAATCCACTGCTGTGGAAAGATCATCATTGAGATCATCGTGTTTGAAGGTCAAGAAAAAGGTTTCGAACTGACCTCTTTCTAGGAGATGAGAGACCATGCCAGAGATGCATCAAGCGAGGTCTCGCCGATGCATGCCAAGATGGTGTTCGAAAGAAGGCCAAATACCTTCATGATGCTCCCCCAGAAGCTCTTCGACCTGTTCTTGGTCCCAACTACAACCCCAATCCTAATCCCAGTCCTGCGCCTCCAAGACCAAATGCACAACGTCAAAATTCGAATGCGAGCCAGTCGGATAACTTATCCGCGACCGGGAGCAACTTCTTTTCACAGGCAAGCACAACGACTCTGCCAGTCTATTCAACCGGGGCGCAAACTCCTGTGGGCCTAGATAGCCTGCCTTTTAACCCTCAGGCGTCCCCAACATCTTTCCAAGCTCCAATTGCCAACGCGCATGCCCCTATGAACAACATATTGCCCACTGGAAACATGGACTTCAACGCCCTGTTCGACCCTAGCAATCCTGCCCTTTACAATTTTGATCTTGAAGGTCTCAATTTTGGTAGTCAGTACGCAGGTTGGGAATTCGGTATCCTTAACAAGATGGCTCTGGGAGCCGAGACACCTCCGCGGGAGAACTCAATGTCACAAACCCCAACAACTGAGGCTACTTATGCAGCTCTCTTCGGAAACACAAATGGCAATGGCAATGGTTTTGATCATCCCATGTTAGGTGCCGACTTTTCGAGTATGGACCAGAACAACCAGCCTCTATATGCACAAGGAAACCTCCAGCACGGACTGCCACATGCTTATGCTATTGCAGCTGGGCCTACAAGTCTTGCCAGCCCCAGTACAGATGCCACCGCCAGTCCCCATTCAGTTGCGGGTATGGATGGCTCACCTAACCACAATTTTGCTGGGATCCCTAATGTTCCTGGCGCGCAGCGACACAGGCCGAAGACTACCAAAGCGCCCCCTAAGTCCTATCTCGGCAAGCGACAACGAGATTCTGCCGCTATCTATGAGAGTGTCAAGGAGCCCTATCCTTACACGACTGGTTTCCACAATATGGTGGCTGTTTTACGGAACCGCCTGCCTGGTAACAAGCTATTAAGAATTGCGAAGGCACTTGGAGAGATCCGACCATCGTTCATATCATGTACCAAAGACCTGACCCGACAGGATCTCATCTTCATGGAAAAGTGCTTCCAGAGAACATTGGTCGAGTACGATGACTTTCTGCAACATTGCTGCGCCCCAACGATTGTGTGTCGAAGATCAGGCGAGGTTGCTGCTGTCAATAAAGAGTTCATTGCGCTAACAGGGTGGACAAAAGAGGTGCTACTTGGAAAAGAGCCAAACCTCAATATCAACACCTACAGCGGCCGCTCAACTAATGGGTCTAATACGCCAGACAACAACGCGCAAGGAGACATGCCCACGCCCCGTCCCCAAAAGGCCACTCTCGACAATAGCAGTGGACGCCCCCAGCCTGTGTTCTTAGGCGAGCTTCTTGATGACGACAGCGTCGTCGAATTTTACCAAGACTTTGCGGAACTAGCTTTTGAAGATAGCCGTGGTAAGGTGCAAAGAAGCTGCAGACTCAACAAGTACCGGTCATCGCAAAACCTGGACATGAAGCCAGAACATGGTGTCCAGAAAGACGTACAGCCAGGCATTCTTAGCAGCCGAGTTACGCGCATCGACAGCGAGCACGGTATCTCGAGGATTGAGAGGGATGGCAAGGTCGAATGTACCTACTGCTGGACCATCAAACGAGACGTATTTGACATTCCCATGATGATCATTATGAACGTAAGTCACACGACGATGTTTTCGGCATGTGCTTTAGGCTAATTTTTATGACAGTTCCTACCACGATATCTACCAGACCAAGGGCCCCAGCAACTGGCAGTTTAGTCGGTTATGACTAGGGGCGAAACTTGAAATACGTTGATTCCCTCTTTCTTGTTTATGTCTTTTGACGAATGCGAGACGTTTTCTAGCCCTCGAGGGAGGGGCCAATAAACCAGGCAGAGAAGAAAAGACTGGAGTTTGTGCTTTTGTTAGAGGATTGGCCATGTGCTAAATCACGGCTGAATAAGACCGGTGCTCTTCAATCAGGAAGATGGGGGTTTCAAATGATACCCAAGTAGTTTCTAAGAGACGGAAAACTTGAAATAAACAATACGTCAAGCCAGAATTCTCTCTTCTATGTTGCTGTTCTATCCCTAACTCCCAGTCACTTTTCTTTACCCTGTTTTGTCCCTTACGTATCGTATCATTCTGTGTTTAAGCATCACGAACGAGCCACTGAACATTCAAGCGGCCCCCTACGTCCTTGCCACTGATAACTCGGCCCTTCTCGGGGGCCCATGCCTCACGGGCAAGACTATTCTTTGCTACCTCGCAATCGAAGTTGATATCTTCGATGAGTGCCTCTAGACTTTTGTAGTCCTTCTCCTCACGGATGAAGCCGAGAATGAGCAGGCGCATGGGCACATCGTAAAAGTCTGAGGTGAACTTGTGTAGCACGTGAACCTCTGCACTGCGAACCTTGTTTTTGTAGAAGGGGTTGTAACCAATGGACATGACCATAGGGAAGATGTGGAAGGGAGGGTTGGCGGGAGCTTCAGTGGAGAGAAGAGCGTCCTCTGTACCACTTTGGGTAGCGACATTAGATGAGGCTGAAGAGGGGACATCGGGGTGCTCCGAAGGGAGAGCGAGAGAGGCGTAGCCAAAGTAGACACCTGAAGCGATTTCTGCGATCCAGGGGGTGAGTGCTTCGTCAACGGGAAGGTTGGCGGTAGGGATGCCAAGCTGAGCGAGGTTAGTAAGGTAGACGAGATAAGAAGGCGAGTGACGAGACTAAGGGAGTCTTACCTCTTTGGACCCGCGACCGAAACCTGAAATGACCTTGCCTTCCATGTGAAGAGGATACGGGGGTTCGGGTCCAGAGTCTGGGCCGACGACTGAAGGGCGAGAAGACATGATTGATAATGGGGTCACAGAAGTGATATACAAGAAAGAATGCTGTTCGATGGTGGTTGATTTTCAGTCAACTGAGAATGAGTTGAGTATTTCGGCTCGGAGACTATACTGGAGGGTGAATAGGGCCTCGGTAACTGAGTCTTTCTGAGTGGTTGTAAGACAAGGTGAGTCTTCAAGTGAGTGAGAAGTCGACGGCGATTAATTATTAAAGTGCGAGTGCAAGTGCAAGTGGGGGTGGAGTTGAGTTGATGATGAGATCCAATCCGACAAATGGTGGGGCGAATAGTCAGTCTACCTACGGCGGGGAGTCGATGCCGAAGTGCGAAGGTCGGGGGGATATGAGACCTTTGCTTACCTACCTTAGTACTTCTTCTACTTTAATGTCACACAGTCGATGTTTTAGGCTTCATCGGATTATTGGATGATTAACAGAAAAGTACAAATAGTTGATGATAAGCTGTTCTGGAACCGAGGAGTTCTTAGCAAGCCGTTTATGAGATGACGCTGGAAAGTGAGAGATCTATTTGGAAACAGGACTGTATCAGGATATTAAACTTGCACTATTAACACCAGGATATCTCTGAAAGAATGCAGCGTTCAGGAACAAGTTAACATTTCCCATTCATCGACACTATACCGGATGCTCTCGAAACTGTACGACACGAAAGCAGCTCAATAACAATATTTCGGATTAACATTAAGCGAATATGCGCCATAAGATACAGAGTGACTGCAGTACAGTCCATTTAACTCTTGTTTGACAGCCATCATGGTTGCTCGTTTCCCTTAAAGGGAACCGAATAAAAGCCTTGCAACGTCATACCCTTATATCTTCTATGCGGTTGCTTCCGTCTTGGTCCCCGCAACTGTGGTCTGAGCACCCGGCCACTCAGTCCTGCCCAGCTTGATGATATCGCTTCCCTCGAGAATCCAGTACTTGCTTGGGGCCTTGCCCTCCTTTGCCAATTGCGCAGCTCTAATAGCCGCCTTGGCAATGACATCGGCGTCCTGGCCGATGCTATCTCTGAAACCAGAACTTAGGCTTCCAAGACCATTGATTGCGCTCTGAGCTATGCCCTCAGCAAGACGGCTCGTCTCCCTCGCGCCCATGATCATGCCTGGCTTGAGAATCACTGCCTGCTCAAAGTCCATCTCCTTGATTGCGTCTTCGACCCCATTCTTCATCTTTCCGTAAGGTGAAGAGGCTCCGATGAAGGAGCGTGTACCTGCGCTTGAGATGAAGACGAATGTCGACACACCTGCGGCCTTGGATGCCTTTGCAAGTTCAATGTTCAAGTCATGGTCGATCTTCCACTGATTTTGGATTCCTCCTGCCGCCGCCCGAGTAGTGCCGAGGGCAGAGTAAACGATAGAGGGCTTGGGAGAGAGACCAGTGAGTAGGTCTGCCCACTTGGTGGTGTCACTGTCGACTACCGCATTGAGCAGTGATGATGTTGCCTTGGGAGCGCGTCGAGTGATTGTGTGCACAGGGCTGTAAATATCAGAAGCAAGTAGAATCGAGAGAATGTTTGAGCCGACAAGGCCCGTAGAGCCGATGATAGCAGCTGATGAAGACATTGTATAAGGGTGTTGTTTGGCAGGGTATCAGGAACAGTCAGGGTATCAAGGCAAAGACTTTGTAAAATTGAGGTGGAAGGTTTCAGTTAATGGGGTATCAAAATGGGGAGATGTAAGTAACGTCCAGGGATCAACGTCAAAAAGCTTGACAGTAAGTGAGTGACGCCATGGCCCAAGCGGCAGGGACTAAATTGCCCAACCATGTGACGAAGCAACCGCAAGTGTTAAGAGTGTTCCGTAAACTCAATTGATGGTCAAACCCATGAAGCCGAGTTGTGTAAGTGAAGTTGTCAGCATCCATCAATTGATGTAGGCAGTTGGATGTGACGGGACCATCCCGGATCTCTTACAGTATTGCAGTGCCTATCAGCACCTAATCGTACCTACAGCACCTGCACAACTGTGGCTCAGGCAGGACAACAGGGGTCCAAGGTACTTACTCCATAAATTATTGACCAGGCACCCCACGACTTTGACTTGCGACGTCGTTTCTCTGCCTGCGTACCTACCTACCTAGGTGTCTGTCTTACTGGTACCTGTTCAACGACAACATCCTGTCGCCTACCCAAGGCCCATCTCGTATACTCCCAAGATCGACTTTACCAAACATCTCAAGGCGTTCTTTCATCAAACATCATCTTAAATAATACAAAGACTACTCAGAATGGCTACTCAATACGAAGGTAACACCACTAAACCCCTCCTCAAACCTTCCATCCCTACACTCAGTAGCTAACAGTTTCCGCTCAACAGTCGAACACAATGTCAAGTTCACCGAAGCCCGTCGCTCAGGCCGTCGCGTAGACATGGCATCCTTCTTTTCGCTCCTTGATCAGATCGCCGAGCCCTCGGGCGCCCAGACCCCTCATCACAACCCTCACGCAACGCCCACCCCCGTTGACACAGCCGCTCTCTTTCGCCTGCTCCAAGAACAGCTGCACCAACTTCAAACGACCGCCCCAACAGAAGACAACCGCGAGTTTCTCCAGTCCCTCATCACGAACCTCGAGGACGACATTAACGACCCTCCGACTCGACTGGCAGGTGTGTCACAAGAATTCCTCGACTCGCTCGATCGCGTAAACCGCAAGACGCTCAAGAAAGACGACGACTGCGCCATCTGCAAGGTTCCTTACCTGGAAGACGAATACTGTCTTGTTGTTGAACTGCCGTGCCAGGGTGGTCATCAATTCGATCTCGAGTGCGTTGGACCTTGGTTGCGAAGTAAAGGAACATGCCCCGTATGTCGTCACGACCTAGTAGAGAAGAAGGCTCCCGTTGTGCAGGATGATAGCGAGGAGGAGGATGGCGACATGATGTATGCCTAAAGAGCGGCTTGTCAATAACATTGTGCATAGTCTGGCGTTCGGAGTCTGAGCCACTGTGGATTTGGCTTTCTCAGGAGATGCTGAATAGGAATACGATGAATATGAAGTCATCTAGACATGAGGGGATGTCTAGCTTGACCCTTTCCCGTCCGACATATGGGGATCTTATCGTCTGAGTCATCTACACTATCATACCATGTCACACGATACAAGTTCTCCCTTTCCCCCGGATGAACATTCCTTACATGGCTTGAAGGATCGCCTGGTATAATCACGGTTGGATTCTTCTCCACGCTGTCCCGCGAGCTTACCGCTCCCACCGTTGCTATATTCTGCAATAACTAAAGAGCAGGCTAGCAAAAGGACTATCCAAGATAAGGACTTTCTCTCCCGTAAAGGGAAATAGTAGTGCCTAGAGCGAGATTGTAGCTTGAAGCAACGATGATACTCTCCACATCGCCATTCCATCGCATTGCGCATGCATGCTATCTATTGTACCGGGATGTTTACTCCGAAGCTACCTGTGCAATCGGCTACAGACCTGTGAGAACCGCCAAGCGTAAGTGCTCTGTTATGAACCGAGATTGGCAGAAGCAACTCAGGCGGATCAGTCAGTAGGTCTGGCAAGTTACTACAATACAATAACAATACAGCAAGAAGTGGACGCCTACCAAGGTCGGGCCGTGGGGCGGTGTCTGAAGAAGCTTTTTCAGGGAATGCCGACAACTCGGATATGTGGGGCCGGTCAGGTCGGAGCTCCGGCGATAGCTAAAATGACAACACCAGACTTTCCAGTGGAAGGGAAGGACAACCGTAGGTAAGGCGGAGCAACTACCTTTGGCAATGGAACGAGTCTTTCGATGATCGTTCAGCCACTTGTTCTCCACTGGCTGATACATCTTTGCAAGCCATGCCAGTGAGTTGTAAGTTACATTCATGTCCACTTGACGTTAGTAGGGTTGTGTCAGCTCAATTCTCACAAGTCCAGTCCGCCATTGATCGAGTTGTATCTTTCGTCAATTATGCAAGTAGTCGTCCTTCTGCTCCCGCCTAGGCAAATCCATCACTTGAATACAATGCGCAATCCAGTACCGTACTAAGCCTTAACACAATCCCTTTCTCTTACTTGGCCTTGGGCAAATCACCCTTCTTCGGCGCACTTCCACCTTGACTGGATCCTCCCTTTGAAATCTCCTCTCCAGCGCCCTTGGTCTTGATAGTCTTTTCATCACCCATAGGCTTGCTGATTTCCTGGTTCGCACCGCTTGCGTTCAAGGCATCCTCCCCCTCACGGCCCTTAGACTTGGTCTTCTTCCTGGTCTTCTCAGCCGCCTCTTCGGGCCGCGTTGAGTTCGGGTCAAAGGCGATATCGGCGTGCTCAGAGGCCATCTGCTCGTCGGTTCCAGACTTTGAGTTTTCATTTGCTACGGGGCGGAGAGATTCGCGGTCCTGGTCATGCTTGTAGGGCATCTGCATGCGTGTTGTTGTGTGGAGGGGACGGATGGTGGTTGCGCTTGTGCGCATGATGGTGCGGAAGAGAGACATGATGGCGGAGGATGAGTGATTGGGAGTAGAGTGGAAGTAAGAGAACAATTGAAAATCCGAGATATGTTTTTGTTGATTGGAGTTCTTGTTGTCAATTGAGTAGTGCAATTGGCAAGTTTGGAAGCTTCCTGAGCTCCTCTTGCTCGTAATGATGTTATTTGACCTACGTCATCGACCATCATCTTTTATGCGATCATAATCGTCATTATTCTGCAGGTGATTGTGCCTACCCTAAACCATCACAACGACATCTTGTGGCATCAATCGTGAAAGAACAGTGAAGTCACCGGTTTTTCGTTATCGAATACAACTGTCATCAGAAGCAAATCGCTGCTGGTAAGTGACTTCATACAGTACAGTGATCGGCTTGTTGTTGGTGCGGTTGAAAGAATGCGGAGCGACCTCCGAAAACTGGTGATAGGCTTCAAAACGAGACAAAACTCATTGTGGGAGTAGGTATCATAACACCGATGAGTTGGAACTGGAATCGAGACTGCACAGAACCAGTTAAACAGATTCTAAGATATCTACCTATCCGATCCTAGCTTGAGCCTGTTTCGTATCTCCTCCATTTACAGGCATTCGACTCAGGCACTCGACTCAGGTACTCGAGTGTCTTGGCAGTTAGAAACTCTAGACCGCAAAACGTACGACAATGATGAAAACAACAGCATCGTGCATGCATACTAGGGAGTAATTGATAGAGGAAAGAGCATCAAAGCGAAGCCGACGGGGCAGTTTTGTGCCTGGGATCACGATGTTTAGGTACATGCAGTATAAGACTACCTACCCAGAAAACCTTAACAACATGGAATAAAGCGAACTCTCTCTCTCAGGCTCTCTTTCTCGCTCTTACTGCCCCCCCCCCCCCCCCCCCCC